TTCACCCAAACAACAATACGTGATTAGAAACTGCTTTCAAATGTTACTTTTCTTTTCCTATTAGATCAGTAAATGCCCAGTTTCAGTTTTTTTTTGTTAACTCATCTTCTGTCATTATATGCATATATTCCTTTGAAAACCAAAAAATTGTTATCGTCATAACAACCGAATGTGCGATCCTATTCCTGGGTCAATCAATAAGAGAAATTTGAACACTACAGCGTGCCACTCGATTTTACATCGTTTTCTTACTACTCTCATTGTTTCACCACTACATTTTTTTGTGAAGACCCAATCATTTCTGTTCATCACATTGCACATTTATGGATTACAAAATAAATTCGAATAATTAGCATGTTTTTTTTCTAGAATCAACCAATTTGCAATAGCAAAAAATATTTCCACACCACATAACCAATTGAAACTTTTCAATTTCATTGAATAACTACAGTGTGCATCAAAATGATGTCAACCTTTTATGAGCTGAAGTCTGCAAGTAGACGGGAATGGAACAGTCGGTCACCTGCATACCTCAAGAAACTCATTGACAGAATGCAAAAACAAATATGTGAAATGATTCAAAACTATGGAGGACTACTAATTATAGAATTTGTTGTGTTCTTGCATTCAAACTTGTTGTACTATGATTTTTAAACCTTTTTCTTCCGTTTTAGTCCTTAAATACAACAAAGTTGTTCAAACGCTTGAATTTGACCGTATTTTAAGCCAACATTAAAGGGGACGATCGCTCGATGGATATAAAGAGAGTATTGTTGAAAAATTATACAAAATACAAAAACATCAGTAAGAGACATGCAAAAATGCCAAAAGACAAAAAATAAAGGGTGGCGTATCATTATGACGCCCTTGAAATCCAATTTTTTGGACTGTGTGGATACGGATCAACAAACCCTTTTGGTTATTTTTGTACATTTATTATCTACGAAGGTATGTACTATTCGATATTTTGTTGAGTTTTTGTATTCTTTCAATGTGATTTTTTTTACATTCTTTCAAAGAATCCCATAACCGTCGGACTATAAGTTATCACAATTGCTAAGCGGATTCCCTCAATGTAATCATGTCGATGAAAGTTTTAACTTTTTTCTAAACGACAGGTCGATGACAAAATAATTAATTGATTGAATATATCTCAAAGAAGCGATATAGTATAAAATTATGCGATTATCTCACTTGTTTTGTGAGATGTTATAAATATTATATAATTTAGCATATTAAGTAATATAACGATGAGCAATTATGATACATTTTCGAAATTTTTCTCAGTTTAACGTTTTTTTTTTGCTTTCACTGAAGACAAAATTTTCTTCATATGCAACACTTTTTTTTCAAATGTGTGTAATTATACAATTTTTGGAGAAAATTTTCCTTTCGATATGAGAGACACTTTGCCTTCGAAAATTTTTGAAAAATGGGAAAGATAGAAAAATAGAACTCACAACATTTCAAATTCAAGAATTTAATACGCATTCTTGTGGCTTTTTATTGTTTGTTACTTCTAAAGTTATTAGAATCTTATGTTTATCAAGTGTTAGAAATTGGTCTGGAAAACATTTGTGGCAAATTTTGAGTTGGTTTTTAAAAAAGTTGTAAATAACTTCGATAAAAACTACAAAAAAAACGAAACGACTAATGACGTAAATGTAAATTAGCACCCCTTCGCAGAGCGTACAGTCGGAAAAAGCTTTTCAGCAGAACGCTCTTGAGCTCATGTATACACAGTCGGGCGCACATAACCCTGCTGCGCTCTCATAATGCAAAGTACTGTTTTCATTTGCATATGAAAATGGTCAATCGGCGGACGGGAAAGAGAAGATCTCCAACAAATTTCTTCTCGAGTGACTTATTCCACTTTATTTCTCAATATATTTTTGAATAAATTGAATGAAAATAGTTGACTTTTATGAATTGTAGTGCCATATACTTTCTTCATAATAACGAAACCAATATCTTGAAGTGCATTTGTTTTAATTGTATCTGCTCACAATATATAATGTTTTTTATATACCTGCCATTACGTAATATCAATAAATTTATGGATTTATACATGTAGAAATGTAAAAAATACACATTTTCCAATGAGTGGTTGTAAAAAATTGCACAATCAATGTAATTTTCATTTTTTACAACATTTTATTTTCTGAATAGGTCCAATAAGCTTCGACAAATGTTCTTGATGAACACAAATTCTTAAAAGAAACAATACATGCAAAACAATTGGATTTTGCCAACTTCTGAATGTATAAGTGCCATCAAGATGTCGGAAGCTAGTTTTGGATGACGAAACACCGTTTTTCGGTGTATCGAATTTCTCCGCTTCTATTCGTTTTTTGGCAAAATCGTGTAATGTCAATTTGGAAGTGTTTCACTTGTCAATTCGATTTCACTTTTCTTACTTTTAACATATGAATCCTTTTGCTTACATTTTTACGTCACTATCCTTCGAAGTAGTTGATTCCTTTTTTGATGCCATGAATGCGTCTAATCAATGCATATTTATTTGCCAACTTTTTATTATAGACGTGAACAGAAATCTTATCAGTTAAATTTCGCCTGCAATACACCTTTATTGAATATTACTAAGATGTGTATTAAATGGTAAGTGATTTTTCGCAATAAAAAGTTGAATACTAAATAAAATGTATTTAGCTTCTAGTTAGAAATATGAGCGTGATAAATGGTGACGTTTTTTTACCATTACGCCACAGAAACAATACCACATAAATAATATTTATATTGTATGAAGATTTCTTTTTTAATTTCGAAGCGATTTTTCAATTTTTCGTTGCTACTCAATAATTTTTATATACCATAATATAAATACGCTTCGAATGATATACTTCATAAATATTTACCACCCACCAACTTATCTTATAAATGCAATTATTTCAATATGAATCCGCAAAATACCAGGTCGACAGGTTTTGACATTAAAAAAACGGGCCAGATGGTGCACACATCACCCTTTTGGTGTCTGGTGTCTCTTCAGGAGAAATTTGAACTTGCACCCGATCCCGCCAAATATTATTCATGTTGCGAATTCCACTATCAGGCGTAATAACCGCAATCTTTCCCGATTTAATCACATATGCATACGCATTGATTCAACGAAATAAGGACAGTTTATGGCTACATGTTATTGTGGTCTCTTCTTTCTTTTTATTTTATTAAAAGTTGATATTCCAAAATCTTTTCATCACATGTTTTCAATCTATTTCGTTAATTTTATCCAATAAAAAATTATTTTCAACCGTAATGAGTTATTAGTAAGTATAAATATAAATAATGATTAGTTAGTAGGTATTTATATTTTTTGATTTTTCTCAATCATGACTCTTTTACATTTTATTTGAATCAGTTTTCATACCTTGACAAAATTGTTCGTAAAACAAAGAAATGTTACAAATTAGCTTTTTATGTTGCTCCAACTATGTCTAATAAATCAAGTCAGTTGAAATAGGACGGTTGAATAAATAATCAACTAGTTTTGGCTTAGAGATAATTCCTATTTATAATTGAAACTTCTGAAAAGTTATTCTGGTTATTCTTCTTTGCGCATTAGATATTCACATTTTATCTTGCGAAAACTTCATCTTCTTTCTTTCTTCTCAATCTCTATCTCTCTATAACGTACTTTATCGTATCCCATTCACCATCGTTTGTGGTGTGTTACGGAGATGAAGGAACGTATGCAGTGGTAATTAGAATATGTGATGCGTCGTGGTGTTTTTGTTCCACCATTCTTCAATTTAGGCAATTGGCTTGTAGCAAAACTTTTGTATTTTTCTGTATGTATATTTGATTGTAATGTTTTAAACTTTTACAGATATTATCGCATATTTTTTCTACATCGTTCAATATTATAAAAGATTTGGAAAAGCGATACCGGTGTCTTAATAGCCAAACGCGTCCTTACGATTTAACATTTTATGGTAAACCATGTTTTCGAAAGAAAATTCAAATAATACAACAGGTTTCCAAAAAAAAACCGAAAAAATCTGTAAAATATTTTCAAACATTTTAAATATTACAAGAGTGTTAAATGTACTTGCTCTTCTGACACTATGAAATTCCTTAGATACAACATTGAAGCAAAATTTCGAACATAACATTAGCTTGTTTTTTTTTTGCTTTTGTAAATATATGTGCCATCGTGGCAGCCACAAATGCCTCTGCGAATTCCCATCGCAAACAAATCAAACAAGGTTCGGCGCAGAGCTGCTTGTTGCGCGGTAGTGTAATCCTGCTAGCCTCCGGCACGCCGATCACACGCTTCTGGTTGGTGGAATGGCTTAAATCGCAATGTGTATATACCGAGGACAGCTCGCATTGTTTCACCAAATGTATTCACTAAGATGTGTCGTGTTTTGTGTTGTTCTTTCAAACCCATTCGATGCTCTCTTTTTTTTGTCAATTTTGGCTTTCAAGTGAAGAGTGATCTTTCGCATCTAAGTCGTTTGCTTTGTGCGTGTGCACACCGTGCCACTCTGATTTGTTGTTTTCATTCGTCCCCGTTATTTCGGTTTGTCTCAACACTCACCCACAATGGTGATCGCACAAAAACAAGCCAATTTCAAACAAATACACACATATTCGTTTTTGTGAGTGTTTCATTGGAGAACTAGTCTTTTTTCAATGCTTGAGGGCGTCTATTTTATATGCACATTTCATATTTCAAATTCGTTTCCCAAGTGATCTATTGTTTTACAATCTTTTCCTTACTATCATTTCTATACCAAATTATTGTATAATGCGCTTTTTTTATTTCAAAATTGCGAAAGGCTGAGAGCTTATGGATTTTCACTTCCCTAATAAAAACCCAATATCGGTTGTTTTTTTTTTTTAATATTTTTCCTCCATCAAATTGATGTTAACATTTCAGACAATTTCTTTAATTTATTTGGTTTATCATTATCAACGAATTTTATCGTGTCTGTATGAGTTTTCGATTTATTGCATTATGTTTAATATTTTCTAGCATGGCTGCTGATGTTCTCTCTACTGGTTTTTGGGAAATTGGAAATTACAAGCATAATGTTAAAAGGATTAAGGTGAGAATACAATTCCTAATCTTTAAAATTATAACTTTTCAGGATGGCCTTGATCAACTTGACGACTTCTCGAAAATGAATCGTGAGCGCGCTGAAATTGAGGCGAAGTACAGCAAAATGCTTGCCAATTATTCGGAAAAATGGCGATTGCATGTAAGAATTTTTTAGATAGTGAAAAGGATAAATTTTCAACAATGTGAATACTCATGTAATGAAATCCTTCTAGGTCGATCGAGCTGTTCCAACAGGATGCATAAAAACGGTTTGGAATGCACTTATTGAGGAAGCAATTACCACTTCAAATGTTCATAATAATTTGAAAGAGCACTTGTTAGAAGATGTACGTGTTTGGTGTTGTCAGTAATTAGTTTAAACTTGTTTAGGTCATTAAAGAAACATCCAATTATCGAAAAAACAACCTTCACGTTTCGGTATTCAAGGGACCAAAGGAAATTCGTGAAATCGAAGACGGCTATGATAAGGTTTCGTCAATTATTTGCTCATGGCAGCACAGTCTATTAGCATATCGAATTAGGCGCTGATTATCAACAAATCGGACAATAAATGCAAATTTCAGGCACAAAAGCCGTGGAAAAAACGATACGATAAGATGGAAGAAAAACGGCAGAAGTATTTCAGCGCGTGTCGGCAGGAAAAATCAGCTCTTGTAAATTTGCAAAATTGCCAGGTAGAAAAAAAGCCCGTTAGAAATATTCAATATTATTTTCAAAGGCGGATTCGTCAATTTCTGCCGATGGCACAACCAAATTTCGAGAACGTCATGAAAAAATGAAAGAAGAAGTTCAAAAAACTCGCGTGGAATATGAAAAAGCATTAGCGAATTTGAATGAATACCGGTGACAAAACAACTCAAATTTAATTGCAATTCAAGTATTTACAGTAGCGTTTATGAAGAAGCTATGAATCATGTCTTCAAATGCTGTCAAGATCGGGAGCTTCAAAGATCGCAGTTTTTGATTGATATGATATCGATTACTCAGAAGTTCGAGCTCGATCTTATCAAAAACAGCCAGTAAGGAAGAATTCAAAAACTGTTTATGAGCAATTTTAAGATTGGCTGGACTTCATCAGCAGTTGGAGCAAACCATTCTAAGCTCAAACACAGAAGCAATCAAAAAAGATTTATCCCAATGGTCGAAAGTATACGGCGTCGAAGCTAACTGCCAATGGCCAGTTTTTGTCGTATGAATTCTCACAATTTTTGTAATTCGATTTTTATTTTGCCAGGAATATTCTCCAGAAATTCGCAATATTGCTTCCAAAGGTGGTTCAGCAGCTAAAACTGTTGGTGGTGTAGTTCTGACCAGACAAATTATTGTTAATGATGACGTTCCCCCATTATCTACGGCTTCTATTTCGGCGCCATCAATCACTACAAATGTATCAACAAATTTTGAAACCGGAAAAGGTAGCCCTAAGGTATGTCATATGACAATATAATCATTATTTCAATGGTTTTTGTTCTCCAGGTTGAAATTTTCCTTTCAGAGTAGTAGCGATTCTGATACAAACACATTTGATAGCCGAAAACACAACAAATACAACAGTAAGAAATTACAACAACATCAACAACAAAACTGGAATCAAGGTACATTTTAATTAATAAACTAATTAAAAAATTTTAAAATTTCATAGAAGCCAATGGACCTGAATCTCCTCCATTGTCCACTGCAACGCCTGACTCTTCAAAGTATGGAGACTTTGAAGAATTCACAATCTGCAAGACAGGAGTGGTGTTGTATGATTACAAACCAGCTGAGAACGACGAGATTCAGTTGCAAAAAGGAGAAACAATTGATGTTTTAAGTGAACCTGACTCGCTTGGCTGGTGTACAGGACGTAGTAAAGGGAACATCGGCTTATTCCCAGCTAGCTACGTACAGTGCATTGAAAAAAAAATGTAAACGCTCAATCATAACTTTTCGGTGTCAGTTAATCTTTCTTTCTAATTTAATTCTATGTATTTATAATTACTTTTTTACAAATAAATGTCGCTGATAGAAAGAACTTGTAGCAAATGAAATACATTATATTGAATTTTAATATTATCAGTTTTCATAGAAAACTTCGATAAGATCACCAATGTTGTTAATGAGAACATCAGCACGATGAAGATGGTTTTTGCAACCAACTCCAGAGAGAACACCAACAGCAGCTCCTAATTGGGCAGCATGAGCCATTTCAATGTCGACACGTGTGTCTCCTACCATAATCGCCTCCTTAAATTTTGCAATGTTCTCGAGAAAACTATTAAAAATATTACGGATGGTTTTACTCCTAACGTTTCACAAATTCTCAAAGCATTATGAGGATGTGGTTTTGGAAGAGAATGCTTATCATCTCCACAAACGACCATATCCACTAAATGATGAACCTTCATACAATTCAAGGCATTCAACGAGCTTTTTCTAAACAAATTCTTGATGTCTGAAACAGTCAAGATCTATACCTGTTGTCAGCAGTGCAAACTGCGATTTTTGAACCGTGCTGTTTAATTCTATTAAACAACGTATTGGTATCGTAAATTTCCTTCACTAGTCGATCAGACACAGATTTTTCATTAGAGTATTTCAAACTGTTTTCTGCGATTTTGTCTGCCTAAAAACTGTGATGTTCTAAAATAATTTGGAAAGCGTCCACTTCTTGTTGGGAGATTCCATTTAAACAAAGAATTCCAGAAATCTCCTTCGTTATTTGGCTCATTGTTCCCTCAGCAAGAAGGCCGGGTTTTACCTAAATTTGATTTCCAATATCTATTGTTAACCGAATTGATTTACTTTATTTTCAATAGTACACAAACCTAAAACTTTAGCGATGTCCTTAAACAACGATAGTCCGCTGTCATGTTCGATACTGAAATTAGATTAATTAAGATTATATCTACATGTTATCACTATGCGCGCAATTATTGACAAATGGCTTTAGAAGTGAAATCAAAGAGGAAAAACAGCAGTACCTCTTCGCAGTATGTATAGCCCATGGGATCCACATGGTGTGGAAACAAAGAAGTGTTCCATCTTTATCGAAAATGACTAGAGATGGAATATTATTGTTCATTCCAACAGTGTTCATATTTCCAATCAGACTAGTGGCTGCATTAGCAGAAGCTCCTCCAGATTTTCTTAGTTGAGTTCGAACAACTGCAACTTTTTCGCTTCAGAATCGCAATTCTTACCGATTCTATTGATAGAAAACAGCTGTAAAACTTACCGGCCCTAATGTTATTGACAACTTGACCTTTTTTGAAACTAAGCATGTTGATTGTTTGAAAATTGAGCAAGTCGATGAATAAACCAGAACCCCATTCTCCTTTTATGTACGGGTTTACGAATATCAGACCGCCTCCCCCCCCCCCAATCATATCAACCGGTATTTGTCGCTATCATCGTCATTGACGTTCTATTTTGCATAGAATCGTTTAGCCCATAACAAACCTCTGACATTGGAGGCGCAGACAACTAGGGCATTTGCGAGATTCGGTCCAAAAAACAAGAAAATGTCGGCCGGCGAAATAACAGTTATTCCTTGTACTACTTACTACATCTTGGTCAAACGGAATGACGGCAACGAATTATTCGATATTCGACGAGACAGAAGACCAGATGTTAAAGAAACGAAACAAAGATAAAATTTTGTTTTACAGACGAAAGACGAAAAACATTTGACAGCGAATTGAGAATATCGGGTAGACGTGATCAAACATCAATCACAAATCGAAGAAGTTATAATAAACACAGCAAATGTGAGGATTCCAATTAAGATTTCAATATTCACAGTTATTTTAAAGTACAATCAAAAATGTCCGCTAAGGGTAAAAAATTAAAATTATCAAGTTCGAAACTAATGTAAATAAGCTTGATTCTAAAAAAGTCAAGCTCAAGTCACTGTTACATTTTCAAACATTTCATTTAATTGTTTAGTGATTTATTGAGTGAGGCAAGTTGTCGTAATGGTGAAATCAAAACAGCAGCCAAGAAAACTAATCCTTTGTCATTGACAATCGTTAGAGAATTTCCTAAAAACTTAAAGTTACATCCATGATAATTTTAATTGTTGTTGTACATTCTGCGAATGTAATCTTTGCCAAACTCTTTACCTCTATGAGATTTGATCGAAACAATTTCGTGATTCATTAATTTCCGATCAATGAACGTTTTTATCACGTGAATAGGTTGAAAAGATTAACGCAATATTTTGAGTTGAAAATCAAACAACATACATTTTATATCACTCATTGCAATATAACAAAAACGATCTTCTCCGAAACGAATTTATTCTGTCATACAATAAAATAGAGAAATTTGAATGTTACATGTTTAGTTTTCGTTGGCTAATTTCTCAATCGCCTCTCGATCCATTCTAAATGTATACCATCCTTGGTTTTTGGTAAGATTTGTATAGTTAACCTGAAAATATATTCAAACTATGCGGTTCAATTGAATTTTTTCTGTGAACAAATAAATAATTAAAAGTCAGTTTACATTATTCTCAAGTGAAGAATAAACTGCTTCCTTGTTATTTGATATGATAAGAAAACGTAAAACCAATTACGATACAAAGTGGAATAAACATATAGATTTGATACTGGAACAACAAAAACCGTAAAAATTCAGCATTAAATAAATGAAATAAAATAGAAATTTATTTTAAGCAAGCTCCTCACTACAATGCAAAAAATATGTTGATAATGGACTGATTCAATGTAAAGCAGAAACAATCACTTTTAGAGTCAAATTTAACAAACGTTAGGTTATTGTTTTGACTATGAATGACAAATTTAGTTAACGTATTAAATACTTTTTTGACCACTTTGAATTAATTTTAAATATTATTTTACTTTTTTCAACATTCTAAATGAGTAAATTTTTCCAGGATCTGACTGAAACGCTTTGCCACATTATCACTTTTAATCTGGTCAAATATGTATTATTATATGAATCACTTACAGTGTCGTAAAGAGCGATTGCGCCTTTGTTCCAATCAAGAACGGCCCATTCAATACGCTGATTTCCATTATTTTTGGCAAGCACAGCTAATGTTTTCCATAATTTGCGAGCAATTCCTTGGCGTCTGTATATTGGACGAACGTATAAATCTTCCATATGAATGTACTGAAACTCAATACTGAGAGAAATATCACATAGATAAAGCTGGTCGACTCTGTATAAACCACATAATTTACACAAAACAACAATTGTTTCGTCTTAAATCAAGTTGAATTCTAAACCAGAAAAATAGTTCAATAACTGGTGGTTTTTAATCCTGATAGAACTTATTTGGGGCTAAATTACAAATTTTATTAACTTTATAGTATTATTTTGACGGATACAAACTTTACTAGTATAGTATTACCTGGCCAACCCAAGTTGAGTACGCATAGTAAAATAAGTTCATTCCAGCTGGCTCGGTTCCGTCAAGAGCGATAAATCCTGAAAGAAAATGTTAACCACAAAAAAACATTTTCTAACCTAAGACTGCTTTTCGTTCTATGTCGCTTCGAAGTTGTTTCTCTGTATTAAGAACACTGTCTTTCATCTTTTCGAACTCCGCCAATTCCTGAATGTACCAAGACTTACAACTAGAAAAATAATTCGAATCATACGTGAATCATTTGCAACAGAAGCGGAGCATGATCCGGAATTACTTCAACAATTTCGACCGGCATTCTGAAAGGAAACTCTACAATGGTCTGAATGATAATTTGAGCAGATAATAATTATACGATTTGCACTGATAATAATGAAACATACCTGATAAGTAAAACTAGATAAAATTCTCAACAATTATTTGCTGATAGCAAAAATGGAAACATTGAGTTAAAAAAGAAAATCTCGAAATTTTATCGAAAATAATTATGCATAAGGGCGCGTGAGAGTAATGGAGGAAAATAATGTTGGATCAATTTTTTGAATGTAAGCAACACACTTTAATACAAAACAAAACTGATTAGAAAATGTCAGAAATACATCAATAAATCCGTTTTTTATGACACTGCGATTTAAATCTTGTGTTGGCGTGCTTACAATCTGTTCGACAGAGCGCATTTTCCTACTAATGCATGACAAGTTTTAGAAGTTTTTCGATGAAAAGATATTACTCGCGAATCAGTAAGGCAGACATGTTTTGTTAAAAAAAAAGGGTATGCAAAGAAACAACTTCGCTTTATATATTGTTTATGTAAAGTAAAATTTTGAAATTTGAAAAATAAAAACATTCAAAAACTTTAAGGAATATTTTATATCCAAACTTATTCTGAAATGTATATACCACCCAGAATCATTCGGCAAAAGATTTTATCCAAATCAATTCAATTAATTATTCTTGTCGGAAAGCTTTTTGACAGAAAAACGGTGTTTTTATGTTCTGTGCAATAATATCAAATTTTTAGACAAACTGTGGCATGAAAAATAGACCAAATTGGTTTTTCATGTAGAAGCTGACAAAATATGCGTTTTGCTAATGGTGAGAAATGCTCATGTTGACTTTGAAGAGTTATTTTTTTCTTATGTCACATAAGAAACTGATATGGTCATTTTTTGTATCACACAATGCTTTCAAATCAATTTGCTAAACGGATTCCTCTTTCCTTTAATTAATTCCTCATTGAAAAGTGGCAGTTTCCACCGATTGAACATGATCAAATTTGGATAAAATTTGGATTTTTGGAGAAAATTAATTAACCTGTGTAATAAAAAAGTCTGGCTTTTATGAACTTTTTTGGATGTTTACATTAAATTCCGAAAGCATTTTGTAGAATGTTTCATTTTTGAACTTACCAGCCAATTTTCATACTTTAAAAATCTTTCGCATTTTTTTATTCTGATATTTTAAGGTAAATAAAAACATTTAAGTTAGTGTTTACTAATTTAATCATTTGCTCATCAAAAACTTTGATAAACGCATCTGTAATTAGAAAAAAATAAAATTTGAGCACACGTGTTTGAACCATACTTACGAGTATGAAAGAACGACGACCTCGCTTTTTCAATTTATTTTTCATTGAGATTATATCGTCGGCGTCGCGCGACTACGAACAATTCACAAAAAAACTATTAGGAGCGGCCTTGGTATGCGACATTAACCTATCCATATTCTCAGGTCTCTAAATCTTTATTTTTAATTTTGAAGCCTACTATCAATTACCCTCAATCGCGCTATTTTATCAATACTTACAAATGAAGAATTATTCTGCCACGATAACATAAAAGGCATGACCGTATATCAAATCACATCCATACGGCTGCTGACGTCGGATAGACTTGATTACTAACAAAAAATAAAAACTATAAAAGTTTCGAAATAAGGGCCTCCAGTCCCATAGGCATCTTAACCAACTACGCCACAATCCTTCAGAACTACTAGCGCTGTCTACATTACAATTTTTATGCCTCTGATCGAATGTGGCACCCTCGTTTCTGAAGTTTATAATTATCCGAAAGTTTGAAATTTAAGAAATTCATAAAACGGTGTATGGATATAATTAGAATTTTTTGCAACATTGTTCAAACTAATCCGAAAATCAGTTTTTAAACACGTGATGATCAGCAGAAAAGACCCAATCTTGCAGAAATACCAGCACGACTATCGTAGAAAATTTGACCATACAATAATAGACTGTTGTTTCGTAGTTACCGTAAGACTTGCGCGCGCGAATTCCTCCTGTATACGTGAAAATCGAGAAGGACGCGGCGAAGGTACTCGTTATTCTTGTATCATCGCGATGGCGCATAAAACAAAATGTTGTGACCCATCCAAAGTACGCTCGGCTTAGGGAGTCTTTAGTTTGGTTTTTTGAACAGGTTCACGAGATCACTAAAACATTAAACCAGGCCTCCAAACATTTTAAGAGCATTTTTAATGCATATTTATACTAAGGGTTTTCATCTCTCATACAATTAAAGAAATAGAACAATGCTAGGATGTGATATAAACTGTTCGGGGTGTTAATTTCAAGTGTTTATATACGTCTCATAATGGTAACGATACATGGACACGTTCGCAAAATTACACCTATCTGACTATTTTTAAATTAAAAAATTTATCAACTATTGAACATTGATTGGCAATAACGAGCAATTCTGCTTTGATATTTTCTTTGAGATGATACATATTTTCAGAACTTGATTGATTATTTTAGATGTACTTAAAACAGTGCAAATAGATTTTAATTTTCAAATGTTTGAAATGACTTATTGAGCAGCGCAACATTTTTATCTTTGCAAAAAACTCTGTATTTTCTAAAAAACAATGTAGGTTTGTTCTTTGCATTTTCACTCACGTGATTCAACAGTGACACTAATTTATCATTGTGGTAGAAAACCCGAATTGAACACATTTCAACATGAAATGTTTTCGTGAGGATATCGTTTTCCAAAAGACAAATTTATCAAAATTACGCTATGGATATTCAAAATTCAGTTTTGATTTCTGCAGGTTAATCGCTTACAGTATTTAAAACTGAGAAATGTCAGCCAAAAAGAATTTTCAAGATTATTACATTTTTCTAATTTTTAAACCCGATGAAGTATCCGCACGTTTCTATTGTTGAAATTTATTATCAGTGGTAACTATTTCTCTGCTTTATTGCAAAACCGGAAAAGGCAATCATCAAATGAAGTGTTGAACCATGTGATTGCAAAAGCATTGTGATCAACTGTTTTCGAAAAGCATTTAATATATTTTTTCGAATGATAGGTTGTCAATGTTCGTTTGACACAAATCAAATTGCACTATGTCTAAGGGATTCTCACTGTAAACAAATGATCAAGTTTTTATATTGTATTTTGTCAATAAAGGACTGTTCACGTAAACATTAGTTTTCATTTTGACGAATTTTCTTTAATTAATAAACTTTTTGAGCCATTAAAATCGATAATTGATCTTCGAAAATCACGAGACGGTCGGAATGTCAAATGATACATGACGTCAGCTTTGATTTACGACATCCGTAAAGGTGTTTCCCCAATCTTCTGTTCAAAATTTTCATATGCGCACGTCGCATTCAGCTCATAAATAAAAGATGATTGTAAAATTCATCGCAGATATCTCGGGTTATCAAAAGATCGTTCGGTACGAGGTAATCCCTTTCTAAGTATCGCGCCAAAGGACCGCCTACCTAATGTAGCGACCACTATAAAACGTGTCGCGATTCGCTTCAATTTTCAATCAGCCTCATTCGCCATTGATTGGTGTTAACCCTTTGCTCCTCAAACTATCCCATTCACAATTATAATTTGCATCAACTCACTGACCGGCAACTCACGTACCAAATAAATTTTGCGTCAAGAGCTTGAGGAAAGCCGCAATCGACAACAATTTCTCAATTACACCTATATGGACCTGTGTTCGAATTGCATACTATGCTGAATTGTTTCACCAACAACAACAAACTCATTTTTTCTACTGTAATCTTCGATAAACTGAACTCTCCAGGTAAAAGCACAATGATAGTCTAAAATTCATTCCAAAATATTAAAGAATCGTTTGTCCCAGTTCAACTAAGCTTCCCATCCGATTGGATTTCGACATCAGTCATTTGTTTCGGACTTTGCGAATTGAGCATCCGCGTCGCTACCGCATCAAGCAAGTGTTAAAGGTGAAAATTAATCTACCTTTGCCTCCCAATTCGGCAATCACAATCAAATACAATGATAGACGAAAATTTTACGATGAGGAATTGAATTGATAACAGACCTTCCCCGCACCCAATAATCCGTTGTCTGTGTAGAGAACATGGTTTTCAGCAGGGAGATATGTCGTCGTTCCCATTCTCTAGCAACTTTAATGTTTGCCGCAGGCAACGCATCTCTGTGGAGCGTGAAAACGTAAGAATTTCACGTGAATTAAACGGCAAATAAAATAATTTTTTAGGAAAATAGAAATGTGCCAGCCGTAGTAGTAAAATCAAGTGAAGTGGAGAAAACTGTTCACCGAGTTTTTACTCCGCAAACACATTCTTTCACAAACTCTATTAAGAATATGTCAGTTTGTAAACCTGTTTACGGTAACTAAAGAAAGTTATCATTAAAAAAATGTGTCTTGTTCAGAGAGATTCAGCAAGCAGAGCTTCCTAACCAATGTTCATTCCTTGATTGGACAGCAACAGTAGAAATGAGTTAAATGTTTACCATTGTCTTTTTTATATAATTATTTCCAATTAACTTCTTACAATAAACATCATTTTATAAAACCATATATTTGTTTTTATTTTGGAAAAAATAGGTTTCTTTAAATTTAATTTAATTATTAGTTTTTGGTTATAATTGAATTAATTAAATAAAAAAAATGCTATTAAAGACATTCTTTTCACAACCATCGTTTCAAACAATGACCAAATTAAAATGTTTTCTTCTGGCCATTCTTGTGATCTTTGCCTATTCTGATAAAGACTATGGTCCAACAACCTTTATTTTGCACTTGCGTATTATTTGTACTAAAACTAATGATTACGAACCGCACATTAGAATTTACGAACTCAACTTTGGGTACAATTCTATTATATGGCTCAATTAATTGTAATTTACAGAAGTCCAAAACGGCTTGTTTTCAAGCATGAAATGAATTCAACCGCTAATATTGAGCGATTCACTATAAAACTGCGAGTGCACCGAGACGAATTTTGGAGTATGGTTCGTGTTTAGTTTATATTTGCGGGCATTATTAAGAAATCGGTTAATTGGCATTTTAAATTGTTATTTTTAATGTTTGCATTGTGAAGGAAGAATTGAATAACACAACTAATTTTTGACTAACTGGAAAACATGATGTATGTGTCACGTTTTTGAGAAATTAATGGAAGATGCTGTTTTTTTTTTTTTGAAAAGCATTTTTTTTATTTTGAGAAAATTTATGACTAGCCCTTTCAGATGGTTATTTTCTTGTCAATCTTATATGTATGCGTTTTACAATCTAATTTGAGGGATATCAATTTCGTGTTGTCGTATTTCACTACTGTGCTCCCAATGCTGTTGTATCTTCTGCTGTAATGAATGATGTTCAACCGATATGCAAACTGAGAGTGTAAGATTATTAATGTCTACTGAGTTACATTTTTTTCAGACCATTATGTGAACGCAGTCTCAATATGTATCTTGACAATGACAATTATCACAAAATTTATCCTGAATGACTTTCTTTTGAATAAATGTATATATTGTAACTATAAACACATTGAAGCAAAATTAGGTCACTAATTTTTAAGTTGAAGAATATCTTTTACTATTAATTTATAACTATCAAAATCCTACGACCTCGATGGTATATACATGGTTTATTTACAGATATCATTTTACGACAAATAACATTATTATTCTGAATTTAAAAAAAAAACATGGTTCATTTTGGGCTTTTATTGACGGGACACTATTTTACAAGATTATTTCAAATACATTGGGAATGGAAGATATACGTAATTTAACAAAATTGTAAAACCGAGAATTTGTTGTGGTTTTTAAATAGGTTGTTATACCGCGTGACGTTTGCAGTAAGCGTTCCTAAAATGTGAAGTAATTTACGAATTTTCATACATATAAGTTAAATTTACATTCCAAGGAAACGCAAGTACAATATCTGGAAATTATGTTTACAAATACAAGGTAATCGGGAGAATGGTACAGGGTTTTTTTACTACCAGTGGGACAGATTCAACTACAAGTTCTGTAAAACAACCGTGGTGAAGGATCAAAATTCTGTTACATTTAAATATTGAAAGCTATACGTAATTGCAAGTTTAAGCGTTTTTAAGATAAGTTCTAGTTTAAAAATCATAATGATGGGAGTGTATATACATCATACTAAAGAGTTCAATTAATAGAAAAATTTGATAGAACAATAAGCAAACAATTACACAAAAATTTGACGATAGAACATGATATTGTTGAGGAATTCACAGGTCTACAACGATTAGATTATACTTATGCGAACACACAATTAGCACATTCTAATAATTGCAGAATAAAATTAATAAAAGGATAACCCATCAAGGGTGAAGGGTCTCAACAGGCTCGTCGACCTAAATTGGATAAATTCTAGTAACATCATTAATAATGGAATATTCAATATATAAAAAGGTGCAGTTACATGTATGTTTTTGTCAAATCTAGTAACAGTATTCTGACCTATTTAAAAGAAACATGTAATAATGAGAAATATTCTAAATTAGATGAAATTAAAAAAAATCAAATTTAGATATCTAGGAGACAAAATTCATAAATAATACACAATGTGATTTGAAAAATGAACTAGCATATCGCAACTTTCGGAAATCCTATTGTTTCATCGAAACATTTAGATGATAATAAATATATAGCATATACAGTAAATTGGAATTGTGAATATTGAAATACCATAGAATCACCGGATACTTCTAGTTGGAGCATACCGGACACGAACTCTGGCTGTCAGATCCAGAACGCGAGCGATCACGACCGCAACGAGCACAAGCTGGAGCAGCTGCATCGCAGTCGTTCTAGAATAAAAAACAGACATAATCATTACATTTACTAAAATACCCCAAAAATGTTATACGGCGGGCTGTGCTGAAGAGAAGCCGAAGGACGAATTCCACCTTCGACAATATGATCAGTGTTGTTGGCGTTGATAGCCAATGGTGATGATAGAGGCTGGACCTGCGGCATAAATCCAGCACCGGATGTCGCAATGTGAATGCGGAGAGCATCTAGTTGTTGAACCACCTGCTCACGTTCCAAAATAGCACGATTTTTTTCCATTTCAGCTTGCTCGGCGCGCATTTTCCACATGTCACACACTTGCTTGCATTGTTTAAGAGTTTCTTCGTAATAGGTCATTTTATCTTGCTTTGACTGCATATCATAACGTTGTTGTTGTTTTGCGAAATCATCGTAGTCTCCATTAGGAGCCTCTGATGTATACATGCTGTTATCGAACGTTCCACTGCTAAAAATATCGGTATGAGTTGGTGAACTCAATTGATCGTTTGCGTGTCCAAAGAATGACGGAGTCGAGAACGGATCTTGCGATCTCATAGTACCACCACTCACTGTAATACTAAGTTCTATTATTTTTTTTCGATCTCGTTCCGTACTGTCACTGAAAATGCTACCGAATTGGCGATTTCCATGTTCTTCAATGGGTGGTAGCTCGAGGTTGAGTTCATCTAATGTTCCAAGCGACGTGTCTTGAACAAAACAATTTTCAAATTAGTATAATCTAAAAGGTACCCGTCACAGCATTAAATCCACTATCCGATCGGCAAAGAGAGGAATGGGATGCCACTGTTCCACTACCATCGATCGGTTGCAAGCCACCATTTAATACCATATTTCTACGGAGCATATCTAGATGTCCCATGTTTAGAGAATGAGTACGAAGACGTTGATCGTTTCTCATCATCTAAATATTAACCCAATTTTTGGATGATTTTTATATAACCTACATCATAGCTACCAGTAGACATTGGACTGCGTTCAAACCCCGGAGCTTTTGGGTAACTGCTTGAAATAAGTTCAGTGGAAGCGTAAGTTTTTCCTGTGGAAATGGGTTGACGTTGTTTAAGAACAGCAGAATAACTTGGCGAAATACCGTTGTTGATTGGAGACTCAAATCGTAGCTGTTCGGTTGAGACGTTAACTAAAATTTCATAAATGTGAAATATATCATAATTTGTATTTAGTACATCCATTTGAGTTGGCCGTTGGGCTACATTGTTCCTTTGGACTTGCTTGAGTACTGCTCACATAAGGATTTCGCGGAGCATGGAGCTCAGAATCGTGATGAGCAAAAGCACAGAAAACAGCTCGTGGACAATATCCGTGCTAAAACAGAAAATGCTTAATTGTTGTTATGAAATATGCAATAATTCACTTCAAGCATATCATTGCATTTAGTAGACTTGTAAATTTCCGGATGGAATTGTTGTTCAGTTCTAGTGTGACAGTACTGACAAGAGTCGCCAGCTTCACAAATATCAGGATCTAACCATTCATCGATGGTCTTTGCCGCAGGGCAAGGAGTAGATCTATACTTGTAAACCGCTGGTGGGCGTCTTCGATCTTTTGAATTATGATAGAAAGGACAAGCGTAACCCTGTCGGCAGAGTCTTGCTGGTTTGCGACATTGTTCGGTTTTGTAGCAAGATAGAACATGATCTTGCGCTGAATTTTAAACATTATTAAACTATATTTATCAGCATCCTACAATGCCACTGAGGATCTTCGATAACGAAACTGGTTTTATCACGTCCTTCTCCATCGATATGAGTGGAAAATCCTTGTTCATGTTGATCGTACTGCAAAAACATAATACAACTTTTTACTAAACGAATTTGAAACTTGTTTTGTTACCATTGGTTGACGGAGATCGGTGGTGGTATGTGCAAAAGCACAATGAGCTCCATTCTAAATTTATCCGATTTTTTTGTTTCAAAACTACTGAATTGCATTTACCTTAACACATTGTCCACGTGAATCAGTGGGGTGTACACATTGAGCAGTCTTGTAGTATCTTAAATGGTATTTTCTTTCAACGTCTCCCGATACTCGATGAAGATAAATGCATTCGTCGCCATCAGGACAAATTCCTGTGTTCTCGTCATATTTGTCGCAGTAAATATCCGGCGAATAGTTGAAGGAGCCATCAGGTTTGCGAACTGGCCTGTAACTCACATATAGTGATAAAAACGAGCAATTTAACCTGCGGCGTCTCTGATTTGCAAAATGCCATTTGAAACACGTAAACGGTCGATGCTGCTGACATTGATGTTGCTTGAAGAAGGGACACGCTTCGACTCGGAACTCATTCAGATAACTAAAAATACAAAAACAATGTATTAACGTAGCTTTTTCATAATAGTACTATGTAGAATTTGAAAAAAAAAGTTCAATAAACTCGTTAAAACATTTTTTCGCAATTTTCGTAGAGCTTTTAGAGTTTTTTTTTGCGAAATACATAATATATGAATTGGGTCAAAATGAATATAATGAATGAGCTGGTTTTTTCATTCTTTTTCTCTCCACATAACGTTGGTTTTCAATTAAAAATAATCTTTAATTCGTTTATTGACGAAGGTAGTATATCAGAATTCTATCTATAAAGCAAAGTATTAAGTATCAAAAAAACCACCATTATTAGAGGCTAAATAACTCTCACTTAGTTTTAATTGTCGATTAGCTTTAATTTCTTTCGAAATATCATTGTTTTCTGATTGATATTCCAACTAGAATAGGAAATTCAAAAACAAAAAACTCTAGACTTTTATTACAAAATCGAAATTCCCGACAGAAATTTAGCAAAATTCAATATAAAAAAGTACATATAATTAATTGTTCTGGTTGTTGTATATTAAAAACAACAATTCTATTTTTGTATTTAACCAAATTACTCGAAAATTTTCTCTTCATTATATAAATGTAATAACCAGGTAATTAGAAAATTAGTTAGTGCTAAATAATTTAAATTCAATTAAATTATTTATTGATTCATTTAATGAATTGTCTCTTCATTTCATGGTTTTTTTTTCAAATGTCCCCCACCATCAACTATTTTCAAATGAACACACACCAAGCAGTAAAAAATGAATCAATACTCGCTATTCTGCCTTGTTTACCACAAATACCACCGGTCTCGCTACGAACATCCGCACACAATGAGTCTCTCGCAACACTATCTAGCAAGCGCAATTTTCCGAGCAGTTTAGTTCTCGCTGTTCACGCACGTACATTCATGCGGCCCAGTGAAAGGGGCAGTCATGTGACACGACGACTCAGCTTCTCTGCTCAAAATGAAACCTCAACAATTTTTTGCGCCATTAGAAAGTTTGCGCATTCATATTAATGGAATTTTATAGAATAGAATTGTATGTAAGAAAAGAGCTGAAAGAAAAAATTGGCCTCTGTTTACCTTCCGTACATCTGTGCGGCTGATTCAAAAACAATTTAACGTGACCCCCACTCCCACTTTCCTCCAATATATTGGTTTGCGGATAGTGTGGCATGGGTCACAAAAAAAGATGAAACGAAGCAAGTGGAATCGAATCGAAGGCCAGATTAGTAAGCGAGTTCAAACAACAGTATTCTAGAAAATATGAATGCTGAAGGAAGTGTAAAATGGATGGTGAACGATTCATTTTTCTATCTCAAGAAGAAAACTGCACCAAACATTGCCGTGATTGTGCATAATATCAGATGTCGATAAAACAAAGCGCCAGCATGAAAAGATGCAAAACTAACTGTTGGTGGTTTGGCTTCTCGTGTGCATTTGGTGAATCCGGTGAGGCCTGTTGTTGCTGATTAGGCCCACCAGTTGCTGATGTTCCGGTGTTGCCGGTGTTGTTGTTACCACCGGACTTTTGATTTTCCGTCATTGATTGACGACGTCGACGCGGCAGTGTTGCTTTGAATTTGGATTCTGCAAAATATTCACTTTACTAAATGCAGTTAAAAATTAACACTGATAATCTTCATACAAGGAAAAGCAATGAAAAATTCCGTACAAGGAAGTAAAGTTTCAAATAAGATATATAGAATCACAGAAGAAAGATTTCCTTACAGTTATTTCACCAGATATTGCAACAAGCACTTAATAATCTACCGATTTGTATTGTTTTTGAATCGAGTTCAAAACAATAGGGCATTCGAACTAAATGTTTGCAGAATACTGGCAACTGTTCTTGCGGAGACCAATTAAAGAACTGAACAGTTTTTTTTTTTCTTTCTAAATTGCTGAAGACCACTGTTAATAAATTCAAATTTAAGATTTTTTCTAAGAAAAAGTCTTATAAAAAATGACAAAAGATGTTTATTTACTACAAATAATATATATAATAATATATATATATATATATATATATATATATAAGTTTATATATATATATATATATATATATATATATATATATATATATATATATATAAACTAATGATATATAATAAATATATATAATAAATAAATATAATAAACATATATATATATATATATATATATATATATATATATATATATATATATATATATATATATATATATATATATATATATATATATATATAAACTAATGATATATAATAAATATATATAATAAATAAATATAATAAATATATATAATAAATAAATATAATAAACATATATATATATATATATATATATATCATTAGTTCATTTTACATGTTCCAAGAAGCTCTAACAGAAATATGTTCATTAGGCAAAAAAATTGAAATTTACTTATATATTTTTAATTTCCGTCTAATTAGATAAAATTTTTTCAAAATGCTATAAAACCATTGAAGTTTATGAAAACAATTCCATGTTTGCAAATGCGTGATAAACTTTGTCATCTGATTGAATTTTTTCATCGATTTTTCTTTTCTAGTTTTGAATTAATCGAAAAAGGAAAATGAACATAAAATATTGTAGTTATAATTTTTAATTAACATCATTTTTGTTATTTATATGAATCATATCAATAAGCTGCTCGAAAATTGTAGTCAATCCCCTCCCCCCCCCAAAATTGTTTATGACTATAATTGTTGTTGCCTTGAATATTTATATTTAAAAAAAAGGAACCAAGAAATTGAATCAATTGTGAAACGAGCGCGTGGCCGTCGCGCACGCGAGTCGGAACACACGCGTCGTCGAACTTCTAACTCTACTTTCAATGGGAATAGGGGCAAAAAACGATGGGGAGAGAGACGACGCCTCGGCAGCAGCAACAGCGGCGACGGCGTCGACAACAGCGACGGCTTGATTGACCAACAGCTGAGTAGGCAAAAAAACATATAACCAAGGACGCAGAGAGAAGCAAACCCGCAGCCAGTGATCATAGAAGTAGAGTGGCGCCGGCGCCGGCGCACCTCGCTCGCGCGCGCGACAAAACAACAAGTCACCCATTGGGAAAAAAGCGACTACGCGACACTGCATTCGCGGCATTAATACCACTCGCTATCATATCCTCCTCACTACTATTCATTTTATTCCTTCTCCAATTTCTTAAACTTTTTATTTTGCATTTGATTTAAGAATTTAGTTTGTTACATGTTACATGAAGGAAATGGAGTGGGAAAAAAGCGCTCGCTGTCACTAAAAAAGGCGAGCGCATGACTGGTTGGGCAGGCGAAAAAGATGAATGCCTGAACCAAACAGAGAACAAACAAACAAGCAAGAGCTGCCCAGTTGGGATAAATATATATTTAGGTTGATACTTTAAATTCTCCTTACACCCATTAAGAGTAATTAAGAAGATAATTAAACAATTTAGTAAATCTGTTTATTTCCAATATGATTATGACAATCGAGACGTCTTCATTACAAAAAGAAATGTTTTTATGAATTACAGGTATATACGGAAAAAATTAAAATTTATTTCAATAAATCTTTAAAAAGGTTATAACTTTTTTAATGAGCTATTATGGTCAATTATTTCTCATAGGAAGGACATATTGGGATAAATATTTGATTAACATTTCAAACACTTCAATTTTGTAACTTTTACGATTTCATTCATTCATATTTAAACAGAAGCAATCAACATTTTGCTCGCTTGTCAATTTCAACAAAATGTTTTATTTATGGAGTTATGAATCATGGTAGAATAACAGAAAACGAACAAGAATTGGAAATGGAGAAAACATGTTTATGTAACGTTTGATGGGTACTGCGAAAAGTGGGCTATCGTGCAAAAAGTGTATAGAACACAAATGTTGAGGAAAACATCCCACAAGGACAATTGCAAACAGAAAAGTAAATTGATTTTTACCTGCAAATTGTTTGATTTATTTGTATTGAACTTGAAAGACACAAATGGATACACTAACGTGTCGAATCATTTTTTTGCTTATCAACTTGGTGTGATTGCGTATGCCATTTATGATAGTCTTATTATAAAACTCGTGATGCTATATTTTAAGTTTTACGCCAAAAAGATGGAACAAACAAGCTTTCATTTGTCCTATAAAATATCATACAAAACATCAATAAAACTCAAATATTAATTGAATAGGAGTTAATTTTATCACCGATTTCATGTTTGAAATAACTGAAATAAGTTGCCATTACATTCAATAACTTGGTAATGGCAAAAAGTGTGAGATATTCTTATCAGAAATCGCACATATATATATATATATCTGTGGGACAAATACGAATGTCAAATAACTCAAATAATTGAGAAATTGGAAAGAATTGGTTTTCTAATTACTCCAAAGAAATTTCAATATAATTATTTAATCCGAACCCCTGCTTTCTGCTGCGGAACATGTCCACTTTATTGTATAGAAAATTTATTTAGTTCACCATTTCAGTGCATAGAAAGATAAGAAGAAACGCGATAAAACCCTCCTTTTGAAAGAAAACAAGAAAAAGGGCATGTTGACAGACATCGAGGCTGAGCCGTTGGCGCGAAATGATCAAAGCACACAAGTTGGTTGGTGCCTCGAAGAACAGCGATAGTGCAGGATTTCTACGAAACTTCACTTTCTCTATTGTGTGGGTGTAACACAAAACAGTCATGAAAACGATCGCTTACGAGCTGAACACAAAACAGAATATAACATTTGCGAAGTCATACATCCTTTATTGTGTTTAGAAAATGAAAAACAATTACCAAATTCATTCTAATAATTCCAACAGAATTTTTATTGATAAATGATAAGCATGACAAAATTCTGCGATAAGCGCATGAAATAATTTAAAAATGGGAAAATTCTAAGTTTTGCGAATGTATCTTTTTATCGTCGAATGAAAATTGTTTAGGGAACATTGGGTAAATGTTTGCCCGACGGGAAGATAACAAGCTCGAATAGTGTGAAATTGATTGATTCATTCAAAATTGGTTAGATGATTGAACGGATGAGCGGACCCAATAAAATAATGGTAAACCGTAAAAATGCAATTTGCACAAATGCATTAGCACATGAGTTTTCTCTTTTTCTTTTTCTCTGTTGCACGGTCTTGTTTACGCCGTGCTGTTATTGTTCGCGGGCACGTGTGCGTTCGAAAATACATAGTCGAACCAAATTTTTAAATAAATATATATAATCACAAAATCCCCAAACATAATTGAAACACAAAATCATGCATAAGAAAACGAACGACGCAAAGTGACCTCTCAATGTTAGTTCGGATGGACAACAGGGAAAAAATGAGGATTGGAAGGGAAGGGTGGGGGGAGTGATGACGTCATTGCGCGATATGCCAGATGAAAGGAAGAATAACAGGATTATATGTGCATATAAATTGGATGCCCGGGTTTTTTCGATAATGCAATGCTGTTTAATTACTTTGCGTTTTTTATTGAACATCAAACTACAAACATTTCATATTTTGCGCAATTTCTGCTCAATATCGAAACAGGATTAAGCGTCGCAAACATATAGCTTAAAAACATTCGATAAACTAAAACTTTTTCCCATTGAGCAAAATATAGATTTTATGAATTTCTCGAAAACAGACTTGAGAAACTAATTTTGATCTCAAATTCTCAATAATATGCAAAGCGAAGAGAAATAATTAATCAGAGTACGCGCATCATATGACAAATTAAAAAAAAAAAAACAAAAAACAAAAAACTTTAAAACAGTGATTTTGATATTTATTTCTGTCTATTTGAAATTATATGTTTAAGAATCGGCGGATTTTGAAGCTGTTGATTAACAAGACAGATTTGAGCAAAGATACTACAGATAAATATTTTTTATCTCGGTAGGCCCGACATGTCGGTTCTTTTAAGAACAAATGTAATAAAAATGCTAAATGATTGATATACGTTAATCACAAATGATCAAAGCTATAAATCGATAGCTACGTATTAACTGACCTGTTTGCGAATATATCTGTCCTCAAAAAACTTTGAAAAAAAAAATGAGAAAAGTGGTGTGTCAAGACACTACATAGAAAAAATTGGGCTGCCTCGCCTCATAAAAAAACGTGTGTGTCCTTGTTTGCCGTCCATTTTTCTTCAAAATCTCTCATCGTAAACACTATTTACGAAGCATAAAACTGAATTTGCTCGTTCAGGGTGGGGTGGATCAAACAGAAACGAACGAAAAAAGTGCTGCGAAGAAGGCACGTGAGGGACGGCGTTGATAAATACGCCTCTTCTTCTTCTTTCATTTTTGTTTGTCAAAGAATACTGCTGATTTTTGAACATATTCGAAGATGTTTACGACAAGAAAACTGAAATTGAGTGCAAAAGTTGAAACTTACCGTAGACACATCATTGTAACAACCATTGAAAATGTGTTATTTTGAATGATTTGATCAAGTGTCATAAACTTGTTAAATTTAAACTAATCGTTTCAAATTTAATATTTGTTTCCGGCTAATGTCAGTAAACATTTTTTTAATTAATTGAGAAAAAATATATTTCTAATAATTGTTTTCCACAATATGTTTCACATACAGGAACATTTTTTAATTATTTAATAAAATTTGTTCAAAAATAATACTGAAACATAATACGATGTTTAATTTTCTTGTACCATAATACAGTTCCACAAGCAATGTTGATAATAGAAACATATGAACTTCTGCAAATTGAACATCACACAATAAAGCTTGAATCCAAAGTGTCGAATAAAAAATGGAAATATAAACCATACCGGAAAAAAAGAAAAATTGATCTAAATTAAAGAGTGGAGCTATTACTATCATGAAATTTGGGGCAAGTTTTGCATAGCGTTAGAATTATTTACCTACATTAAAAGATTAAATGGAAAATTAACTTTGATACAAATTTTATTTATTCTCCTCAGTTTTTGTCGAATTCTCCTCATTTCTTTTTTGAAATCGTTTGTTGTTGTGCCACTCGTTGATGACACGCTGCCTCGCCTCGTCCTTCAGATGTCGCGAAATCGCCTCTCTGAGAAAATTGTTTATCTGTCACTTGATGAAATGATCAACGAGAACTCAACCCAAAATGAAAAGTCCTCACCACAACCAGCTGTTTTTTTAAAGACGTTGTTTTCCACGACAAATGACATGTTTAAACAAATATGTTGAAAGATGAAAGAAATTTAAATAGTGTCAAAACAAGTAAAACAAATTTTTAAGGGTCAAAATATCAAACATATCTTCTATTTATTGCTTTAGGCATAAATAATTATTTTATATTAGAAAACGCGATTGCAAATGAGATAAGTTAAAAACTAAAACGAATCGTTTTGAAAAAAAGTAATGTTTTAAACTAAAATGAAGCAATCACCCATCACAAATGAAATTTTCGAAACACCGCAAACGACAATCAATGGTAATTAAAAAACCGTACCTTGATGGTGAAGCTCTGGGTGTTTTTGGCTCTACCGCTTTTCTCTTCAGCCATTCACGAAAAGCAGCTTCTGCATTATCTCGACGCTCCTTCTCATCTTCTTCAGCTTCACGAGTTTTGCTTCTGTTCATACTCTACAATTCCTTATAATATAGTACGAATATTGGCAAACGAGAACACAAACTGATGCTTTAGTTTCTTTACTATTATGTGTGTATGTAAAAAAAAACACATACGAATATATGTAAGGTCCGGAAATGCCAAAAAATGGCATACTTCGGTCTCATGGGATGGCGAATTTCGAATAAGTGATGCTATATTATGTTTGGAAAAAAAATAATGAAAATTAAAAAATATATATATAGAACCAAAAATTGCGCGCCAAAATGGTATCAGTCTTTTGCGACAAAATTTATTAATATACAAAGTCTAGTGTAATAATTGAAATTGCTAAAATCATTAACTCACAGAGGTTCCTATGTTTCTTGTATATCTTGGTGTTTGACTACTGCTACTTTTCGGAATCATGATGTGGGTTCTACTAGACTTAATGAGGATGCCCGGCCACCTGCACACCTTGTTGACAAGTCAGCCGAACCAATATTGTGTCAAAAGAGCGTACGCGCTAATTTATGGACGAAAATTGAATTGTGTGCGAAACATGAACAGAGAAAAAGAGGCAAGGGGTTCCCCGGACAACGACGTTACGAGATGTATTCATGGATGAACGCAAAATGAGAACGGTTCTAATAAAACTGCTATATTAAGCATGCTTGGTTTACGTCATAAATAAAAATTTGCGGGTTTCATATTGAAAATTAAGTTAGAAATTATTATTCATTCTTTTCTCATGCACAAATTTAAAATCTCTAAGTAAAATTTGTATTCTTAAATTTTTCATTTTTTAGATTGTTTTATTTTTTTATTCTTATTTGTAAGAGTGCTTTCTAATTTGTTACGACCTGCGCTGTATCATATTGTAAACGGATCCGAAGTCATGATTTGTTGCTAACTTAATGACTACATCAGATTTATTCGATACAAACAAACTTGTGGCGAAAAATGCATTTGAGGGAAATTACAATGGGAGAGGATGAAATGGAGTGTCAGGCGACAAATGAAATACTTGCCTTGCTTCTTGGCGCACGCGCGGATTGCGTGAGCCGATATTCTTCGACTTGGTCTCGACTCCAGCTACTGCTCCTGAATGTTGGTGCAACCGTCGATGACATTATTTCATCAAGTTTTGAGCGGCGAGCAACATGTCCATTAGTATCGTTCATTGCTGAAATTTCAATGAAGCGCCATAGAAAAATTTCTCGTAACAGAAATGAGCGGCCGCAGTTTCAATTATTGTCAACAACGCGAAATGACTTATCGATTTCGCGCTACTTGAAAGAAGAGTGCAAGCTGCGCTTCTCTTTGGGGAATTGTAATGCGTTCGTTTACGAGTTCGCTTTTCTGCCTTCTTCGCAGACAAAATGAGAGCCAACAAAAGTGTCATAATAGTCCTCTTCATGAATTATTTAAGCTAAAAATAGTGTATATCTTAAGAAAATTGTACTGAAAATGTATAAGCTAAGAAAATTTTCCAATAAAATTAAATTTGAAATTCAACTACAAACAGAAAAGATAAATAAGCTCAAATCAAATACTAGTGATTTTTTCAAAATCAAATATGTAAATTTTAAATACAAAATGCGCAATGAACTGTCTATGCCTTTTACAAAGAGAACAAAATTTGTGCTTCAATTAACTGGAGCCTGCAAGTTTATCATATTTTTCATATGAGCCTAAATCTTAAATGGGGGATCCACACACTTTAAAAAAAGCAGACAAACGATTTTTCAAGTGCCATATGGCGGTTTAAATAAGGCAGTGTTGATTATAAATAGAGGCCTTTCTGTGAAATACGAAACGCAATGAGGTCCGATCCAAAGAGGGAGGCCAGCTGCCTATATCGAAACGCACACATTGGGCGAAATTATTGAGACCGACCGACGGCCATGCGCTAGGCCTTCCAATTTTTCGTATACAAATTTCTTGGATGGGGAAGAAGTGACGAGAAAAGAGTCCACACAAATAGGGAATGACCCCATGCTATCTTGCTTCATTGTTCTCCCTGCAGAAGGGTTTCCTCGAGAAAATTCGGTTAAATGTAGTAGTGTGCGTCGGCAGGGTATACTTGTTCAAGAACAAGCTTTTAGCGCTTTTATGAAAACTTTTTGCTCGGTGATGTGTAAAATTACTGTTTGAATTAAAATAGTGTATAAAAATTTAAACACATTTAGTGCTACTGAAAAGAAAAATTTATGATAAAGTTACTAATGCGTCTTTGCATCAAATATTTATTTAAACCCAATAACCTGAACCCACTCTATAGGTTAAAAAAGATACAACTCTTTCGATAATAATATATATCGGACAATTACACGTACAAAACATAAAGTGACAACAAATTGTCGATTTTGCATGTGAAAATGCAATTTTGGTGTATTTACGTGAGTCCTATAAAGAAAAAAAGGCAGGCACAGCATTGAGAGAACAAGTTCAGGTATAGAAAAACAGCATGCTCGTTTGGTGTTGAATTGTAAACAATTAAAATTTTTCATTCGTTTTGTGGTACTCCTTCAGAATCATAAATAAAAAATGAAAGATAGATTCAAGTTGGAAAAAAACAAACAAGGCGTGCAATCGGCTTATGTTTGTTATTTTTGTTGACAATCGGCTTATTCGTTTTTCTTTTTCAACTTTCTCATGAAAAGCATAAAAAGTCGATTTACTTGCTTCTGGCATTTCTTCTCGCGCGAGCTGGCTGAGGGCATTAAGCAGTACTACCAAATTAAGGACTTTGATATGTGTCCAAAAAGCAGAAATTCTTTTTATTTATTTCTTCTATTTTTAACGTCTAGTGGAAATTCTCCTAGAAAAAACATGTATAAGTTATTGCCGTTAAGGTTTCTCCAGTATCCCTTTGAGTGAATTATTTATAATAATGTAATAAGGATATTGAAAGTGAAATATAAATATCCCTTTCGTGAAATCTAACCCTTCAAGACACTCATGGATAATCTAAAAGAGTGAAGCGCAACATTCAATAAAAAAGTTAAACACTTAATAAAGAAGTTTTTTTTAAGAACAAATTAAATATATTTTATATATTTTGTGAGTGATTGTGTATATTACTAATTTTCCTAATGAATATTTTCTAAATATTTTGCCTTTATTTTTTTTCACATTCAATAATCAATTTTTTGGGTATTCAAATATTCCTCTATTTGATGCATCAAATTTTTCTTGCAAATTAACACTCATTGAAATCGATTACAGCAGAGTTATCATCGTAGCCTAGTTATTCATTATTATTAGCTTGCGAAATTGTTTACAAGTCATTCAAATTGCCCGATAACGCCACAATCTGTTCAAACGACATTGACACGCTCTGCGCGCAATAAATGCGTCAGCAAACCAAAACACTGGCACGCTTGAAGTGTACGCGTTGTTGTAAAAATTCAGTCACGATTCGCTCACCTGATATCATAACTAGATTTTTCGATTCCGTTGATCTGTGTTTATTTCAGAGTAGCTTCTCCTACACATGTCAGTAGTGAATGAAGAAAGTGTTCCGGTTTTTGTCTCTTCAACAGAGGTAAGAAGCAATTATTGATTATTAATAAAATATTAATTTTTTAGCTAGAATTTCAATTAAACGAAAAAAGTCCGCTTAAACCTTTTACATTGTACAATCCCTATCCTTATCCCATAACTTACAAAAGTATGAATCTATTCCATGTCATTTTTTAATTATTGCGATTACAGTTTTATGTACGGCCACTAGAAACTACCATCTTAGCGATTCCACGGGAACACTACTACCAGAATGCTGTAAAGATATGTGAGTGGAATTTAAAAAATAAAGAGAAATAATGGTTCAATTATTTCAGTGTTGTGCGCTGTATACAAAAAGGATTTGCGGGGAATGTAGACAAATTGAAAATTGAAATAATGAAAAAAGGAAGCAACCGGGTATGATTTTGGTGTTGCTAATAAACTATAACAAAATCTTGACAGTCAAATATCTTCTGAACTTAACATGCGTTTTTAATCTGAGAACTGTTGGAAAACAAAATTGTTCATCCATTTTAACTATGAAACTATATCGCAATTTTATTTAAAAAAAATACTTGAAGAAAATAAGCGACGATCCTCCTCAGATGAGTTTCTATACTTTAAAGGGGCTGGTCAGGCTGAAAATTATACTGACACTACCCTCTTTGAATTTCTCGAAAGTGATTTTTTTTCGAGTTTGTAATGATTATTGTAGTACCTCAGGTTATGTTTTTTTTGCGAAATTTTTCTAGAAAAGAATGTGATTTCGAAATTAAAACGCAATAACTTAACAAAAATTAAACTCGAAAAATTTTTTACACAGAAAATGATATAATCCACTAATTTTGAGTCGATCCACAATAGAATGTTCCCTATTCATTTAAACTCCATACTTTCCGGACTTTGTTAATTCTTTATATTGAAATTTTAGTTCATCTCTCGACGTCTTAGATGAGCTGCAAGACATTATTATGGAGTCTCACGTTTGTGTTTTTTTTTTATTACTTGAGTCTTTAAAATAAGAAAAGCTTGTACGCAAGAATTGAAAAATATACAAAGTTCAATTTAAGAAAAAAACTAAATAAAAAAACAATAATATGTTTTAATTTATCAGAAAAAAATGGAATTAATTTTTTTTTCTATTTCCTTGTGTTAAAGAACAATGAGTCTTCAGAATTATGATGATGTTTTTTATGTTGTATGGAGTGTATTGACAGTTTCAAGACATAAATGTTAACAATCATAACACCAACGTTTACATATCTAAATTGAATTATTATATATAGGTTATTGGAGCCCGTGTCATTTTACTAAAGACGGTGCAGCAAGAAGGTGAATCAACATCAGTTAAATTCCGGTCGCCAATAACGCAAAACCAAACGACTATTTCGACAAGCTCAAATATTGAACGCCGAGAAAAGGTATGAATACAAGAAGGTCCCTCATATTAAAACCGCTATTTAACATTTTCGTTTGAAAATTGTATTTGAAAGCACTAAATTATTAAACTTTATTGTCATCCATTTCACCTGCATATATATAAAGGAAAATACATAATGTTTACTTGTCGAAAAAATTATCCAAAATAAAGTTAAACATCAGAACACAAAAAATAACCTAATGAAGACAAATCACTTCCAAGGTGAAATATTTCAGGATCCTTCTATTCGTTGGATAGGATTAATCGCTGGAATAATGTGCGCGTTGGCGCTATTGTGTCCAACAGTTGGTGATCCCAGCGCAACAACCTCCACACTTCCTACAATTTTTCATATAACGCTGCCACAAAAATTGGTTGCATCATATATTCTAGGCATTGTTACAATGATTATTTTACGGCCATCGTAAAATCAAATTTACATTTAATTGTGACAACCTTGGTTCAATCTCATAATGTTCCTTTGTATCCATACTGGTATCAAGTTTGAATTCCTTACACTATTTCAATACTGATTCGCCGTAATCAGCAAATTTCGTATGTCGTCATTATTTTTGCCAATATGATATCGATATCCTTTGAGTGATTCGATTTAATTTTCCTTATGTTTTTTTTTTTCAAAGCTGTTAATAAACGTTAAGGAAACTTTTTCAATCCAATATCCGCGAAATATCAAATTTCTTGATACATTGCTGATGAATTACTTTTTTTTATCGTATAATTTATTTTTAATACAAGCAACTAATGGAAATTCAAAGAATTTAGGCCGAAATAGTTTTGATTAAAATTTATATATATTTCATTTTTTAATATATTGAGCAGCCAAATCGATAGGTATTGCGATACCAAATCGTCTCTTTTTAAATTATATGTTTAACTTCAAAAAATATTTTATGTAACTATAAATGCAGGTTATAACACTGAGCATGGATTAAAATCGATTAGCAAATTTTACAAAATACATGTATGAAAATAAAACTTGTGGGGCAATACATTTTTAAATTGGTTAAAACAAAAAAAATTGAATAGAGAAAATGCATTAACGTAATTTAATTAATTAGTTTGGAGAGTTTAGAGAGAGAGAGAGCAAATCAGATCAGTTAAGAGAAATTTAATGATTAAACGTCCTCTCGGTCGAGAGCCCCGGCGGCAGCGCGAGTTTCTTCTTCGGCATTGGCGCCTGCCTGAAAATAGTGCGATTGGGTGAACAGTTTATAGCATCACGAGATACATCTTTAATGTAAGTAGACTGGTAATATGTAGATACACCGTAGGTCGGTTGACTATCTAAAAACGTACAATTGTGAAAAAATTATGTATTATAGAACATGCCATATGGAGAATAAGTAAAACTTGTTGGCGGTTGGTATGTTGTGGAGCTAGTGAGAAAACTTGTTCCAGCTAAATTACTTTTAACAAGTCTTAAAACTACTATTAAAGTAATTACCCATTGTAGATGTTACAGTTGCTGCTGAATTACTACCGCGAGAGCGATAGGCAACACTTCTCTCGCTCTTTCTTCTAGGTGGCAATTCACCATTTTTGGTTTTTCTAATAATATTCATTATTACAAATATACAAGAGGTAACTTTACCGACCTTTTTCGTGTCTGTAATTGTCCTTCTTTCTTCATTGACACTGGCCGTGGAATATTATGCAACTTGTAATAAAGACCGCACGCATTGCACACCGGCTCGCCGTCCTGATTGCGCCGCCAAAGTGTAGTATTGGTGCCTTGACAGTTTGAGCACACTAAACCTTGTCGACGCTGTCCATTGGACGAATTGCTTTTTTTCACCGCGCTGTTACTATTACTGCTACCGACTCCGCTGCTGCTGCTAGCTGTTCCTCCGCTGGATTTTGCTTGTTTACTAGATATGTTAGCAGCAGTTACAGCAGTGGTGTCTGGATAAATCTGAGCAACCTAAGTACTATTTTAGAATCCCAAATTGTTCAAAAAATAACCAACCTCTGGCTTCACCTCTCTATTATCAAATTGCACTTGTGGCGGTACATATAGATTTTTAGCACAGCTAGTGCAAACGTAACTTTAATAATGAGTTGACAACTTTTTAAATCAAATTATTCACAAACCCTCCTTCAACTTGTCTCTCAGATCCAGGAAAAATGTTCATAGAACATTTCACGCATTCAAGGTACGTCTGTGGAGGAACAACTTGTAACTGAAACAGACATTCGGTTTGACACTTATGTCGAAAATACGAACAGTGAACGGCGCAGACGAATATCTGTCATAAGGAAGATAGGCGGTGTTGTACGGATAAAATCCATTTGAGAAGCTTTGCAAAATTGAAGTATCGGTAGAAAATTGCAATGGAGCTGCGGTTGATAAGTACGGAGCATCTGAGTTTATCTATTAATGGTAGAATTTTGAAGACACACCTACTTGTTGCATAGTCTATAGTCACTGGGTTGGCAATGACAGATCGTCTTTCCAATGTGGTAGTTTCATCAGGTTTTACAACATCTTTAAAACATAATGTTCTCAATAAAAATATTTTGCAGCATCTTACATTTACTAATATCCGTAATTCCTTGTAGCTGAGTAAGGCTTTCCTCTTTTTCTGTTGGCCTTTGAAGCGGAAGCTGAAGAGACTGCTGGGTGCGAATTGTTTCATTCCACGCCGTAGGATTTTCGGTATAGCTGTTCTCCATATTTCGCTTACAAGAAAAATATTATTATCAAAAATGATTATCACAGATCTGAGAAAAAAAAGATAAGAGAAAAAAGTTTTATCTAAAACTATATATTCAGAGATAAATCTAATCAAAAAATTTTAAAGTATTCACACAATTGATAGACACCAACTATGGAGGGCGGAATGTAATGGAATAATGTGCTTGTCGCAGTCTTTCTTATCTTATCAGTGGTGTGGCTAAGTGCTCCAACGCCCTCCCTTCTTCCTATTCCTAAACGCCCTACCCCTTCACGTGGTTTGTTGAAGGGTACTGTAATAATGAATTCCAACATGGATATGAGAGTGTTTTTGATAAATTCAGTTTTCTCTTAAAAAAAACATATAATTATAAACTAGCATTATCTCAAAAGATTGTTTCTCCTGGTGACAAAAGGGTTTTTAGATTTAACCACTGATTAGATAGATATTATCAATTTTTCTAATCAAAAATGTATAATTTGATATATAAAAGACGCAGTAGTTTATGATTACGATTTATCGTAGATGTTCCTATCAGTCTTGCCAATATAATTTATTTTTGAAGTTTTTTTAACTTGATGAAAAAAATTTAACCAGGTGCGTTTTGAATACCGTCGGTTATTTTTTTTCAAAACGCACGCAAAATTGTTCACATTTGGTTATTTTTTTATTACTTCATATATAGCTGCAAAGCAAAAATGAATTTATATTTTGAATTTAAATTCGATAATTGTGAATATCCTGAAAGTTTTTAAAAACTGTCGCACAATTCAAAAATTTCACCGTTAATTACTTGCGCAAATTTTATATTTTCAATTTCATGAAAAAAATTATTTTTGTGAATTTATTTCGAATTACAGAATAGTTTGAACAATTATTTTGAAATGATGAAAAAGGTTGCAGAAAAAATTCAAAAAGAAATCTAAGCCCTTCTTCATAATTACTTAATAACTTTTTAAAATGAATTTATACTGATCGTAAGTAATACATGCACAATAAGATTGTGTAGAAAATCTTTCTGAAATTTATCGTCACTATTTGAAAGAGCCATCATTTAAATTTGCGATACTTAAAAATGTTAAATTCTTTCACAAATTTGAAAATGGTAGAGATTATATGTATATAGATTTGATGCAGAATTACCAAAAAATCTAGCACATATTTCTCATAATTTACACAGCCCATATAAAAGATTTTCGTTAATTCCATCCCTTTGTCAAGATTAAATTACCACGTTGCTCTTATTCGCATTCTTGTGTTTAGAATGCATAATTAATTGTTTCGTTGTCATTCGATAAACTTGTGCTGTCCAATGTACACAAATGCGTGGCTGTTTGCAAACTATCACTTTCGCATGGCCGGAATACGGTACTGTTATCAGCAGTAAACCCTTTCTCCCTCATATTCTTTACATGTCATCTCGATGTCATTATATGCATACCAAGACAAAATAAAAACGAGGGACATCCATTTATTGAAATGACGAGGATGAAATACTATTGATTGTTTAAAGATAGCATTGGGAAAACCGTTCAAAAATTTTAAATTTATCAATATCACGATAATGTTATCATTGTGATAGGGTTTTTAGATATGTTTAACGGGTTCAATTGGATGTACCGGAGTTGCATTGTCGGCGATTGGATAAACAGCGAAGGCATGAGTTGTAGGAGCTTCTGGAATTATTTTTTAATGATGTGTGTTGTTTGTTTGTAAAAATTTGGCAGTAGAAATTGCGGAAGAATGATTCATTTGATAACGCATTAACCAAGCGTATCAACGTTTTTCATTAAGATACAATTTTTATTTACCTGTAACGGAATTAGATGTTGTGGTAGTTGGGACATGTACCGTCGATAATGTCTAAAACAATTAATGATTCAATCAGAAAAAAATTTGTCTTACTGTTAGGAATAGAGAATGATCTCCTCCTGATTGTGTCAAAATGTTGGACGGCTCTTCACCAATATCACCAGGGAAAAATCCATCCGTAATTGTGGGATTTCTAAATGTTAAATGATTATTTTGTGCATATTACTCAAACAGACCTCAAATAAAAAACTGCCACAAGTGCACTAGCGATTACCAGAACAATTACTCCAATTAATGGAATTGATACTTTTGGAGTCGTTATAGACTTCAAATCAACCATTTTGACGTTTCAATGGCAATATTAAATACGAAAATGAATGAATCTGCGAGAAGATCTGCTGAGGATTTGGCTATTATACGCTTATACACGGATAATACCGTCGTCAACATCGATAATTCGTCGTATGCGTCATATTCATATCCCTTGAATTTTATAATAAAACCGAATTACGGTGATAAAAAACACGTATAAGTTAATGAACGAGATTTGAGATGAAAACAGTGAATGAGAACAATTTGAAATATTTTATTTCGTTTTCACCTTATTTAAAAACCAGGTTCAAGTTTTTCTTTCCTGTTTTTTCTTAAACAATCAACAATAACAGTTGCACTTGAGTTGCACAAGATGTGCACATTAATAAGAGCAGAAACAATACGTAAAAACGGCAGCCAATAAACTTAAATGTACAAAAGAAACCCATATATTCAGAAAAACAACAAAGTGATCTAATAATTATGCATTTTCATTAGTTCTATGGATTATGTTTAAATAATGAAACATACAGAATTTAAGATAATTCATTGAGATGCATCATTTCGCTTGTTGCCGAAGTTTCATTAAAATAATTGGACCCAATTGCAGATCGTAGCTCATCGCTTGCTTTTACATATTTGTTTGCTTCTTTACGATTTAGAATCTCTTTTGAGAGTAAATTACATAAATTTTCGAATTTCTGAAAAATTTCCTGGAAAAGCCGTGTAAATTTAATATTTAGCATACCAATATATTCATCTTCTTCAGATACGTTTGTAAGTAATTTTCACTGCTTTCAATTGATTTTCGATGGTCTGGATTCGGTTGACAGCAATTTTGAATTACTTCGTGATATCTAGAAATTGTCTACAAAGTTTGATTATCATTTCTTTCAATTACAATTCAAAGCTACAAAATTCGGGTTTACATAATCCTTTTTCAAAGCTTAATTTCAATTTATCTAAGCTTGCTACCGGATGTTGCCCAAACGACAAAATCTCCCATACTGTGATTCCAAAAGACCAGACTTCAGACTGAAAAAAATACGATAAAACATGTAGTTAAATTACCAATTTACATGGAAGCCATAAAACCCAGCAAATGTTTCGGGAGCGTAAGACATTACTGGAATTTTTTTTCCTACTTTCGTTTCTCCTTTTCGAGCCATTTCAAAATCTGTTAATTTAATAATATGGGCATTGCAAACAAGTAAATTGCGAAGAGCAATATCGCGATGTGTATACTAGAATATGATAAATAATTATGTAGCAAACATAATGTAGTGAAGACTTACGTTGCATTGTTTCAAATGAACAAGAGCTCTTGAGAGCTGCCACGAAAAGGAAATCAAATCAAACATTGTTAAGAATGTGCAAGAAGATTCCTGAACAGAACATTTGACAAAAATTAGCACAAATTTCTACCTTTGATTTGAAGATTGTTTCGTCACTTAAGCCCTGGGTATGCTCAAAATTGAACTTTTGAAAATAAACATCCAATGATCTTTGAAAGTAATATGGGAATATAATGCACACTTCTCTCCTCCTTTAACATTTTTGAAAACGTCGAAATACTTTTACTTACAAACTAAGTTTTTGAGTGTAGCCGATCATATGTATGATATTGGGATGTGGTTTTAACTGGCATAATACGATTATTTCATTCATAAGTTGTGCCGATTTTGGGCCTGCAATAAAACAATTTTTAAATAACTTCTTGTTGCACAAACTTACATTTGACTACCACTTCATCTGTTTTATTAGAGAATTTTTGGCGTAATGTTCCAAGAAAAACATTTGAAGAGTATCCTTGACCAATCAAATCTTTCTACAGCGAAAATAATAATCATTTCACACTTTATGTTTATATACCCGATTGAAGTATAGTAGTTTGCTGTTAATCTTGTATTTACTGACATTTTTTCTGCAAAATTAATTTTCTTCCTTCATCAAAAGTATTTAAGTGCTTACTTTAGTTTTGCAGAGTTTTTGAAGTTTGTTCGTAAAATATTGAATTCATATATAACAAAACATATAAAAATTGCACACAGGAGAATGAAAACTGCATAAGAGAGCAGGAAGAGTAATGATACCTGTATATATGTATGACATTAGAGAACAAATATTTGTGAAAAATTATATATATATATATATATTCATACTAAGAAAATCGTTCCGAAATTGTATTTATAGAATTAATCAAAAAAGAAAATGCATGTTTTAATAATCAACGATAAGTGGAAATAATTGTCATAATATTACCATAACTGTGAACATTAATTACCTCTTCTTTGAAATCAAAATACGCTTCTCTGGTTTCATTAAATATTGAATTAGAATGTTTAAAATAGCAAACGTATGTTCCAATTGTGGCATTTCCATGAAAATAAATTTCCGCTCTCACCACAGTTGAAGATGGATACGAAATATCTGGCTGAAACATTAATTCGAATTCTATTCACAATTTAAACTTACTCGAGGGCATCTTTTTCTATTTGGGCATTTCAGCGTTATTTTTATTTTTTCTTTCTCATCAATTCTTGTATTGCTATTTATAATGCATTGCACAATGTTTTCAGTTGTTTTAACCCTCTAAATTATTTTTTTTATAGAATTACTCTTTTTCGATCTACCGAAGATATGGAAAAATCCAAATTGCTCCTCAACAATGGAATTTTCGGACCGACTTTCATTTTGTGGTAATCTTTTCCCCTTGCACATTTTATTATTCTCTGCTTACTTACGTCAATGTTGGTTACATAAAATCCTATTCTGCAATTTATTTTCACTTTGTGGATACACAAATATCTTTTTTGGCAAATTATCTCCCAAACCAGAAAGCACGAATCTTGAATGAACGGCAAAACGAAGCCTCACAGATAAAAAAAACTCACAGCGGGTCAAACGGAAAATTTTGCAATTTATTGTCAATATATATTTTCACATCATGCACATTCTTGCTAGGTATACACGGCACTGTGAAATTTTTTTCGGACACAGCAAATCCATCGTCAGCGTAATGCAGAAATAGTTGGCGTCTCTCCGCTTAAGTTGTGGCTGTTAATGTTGACATATGAAGATTAGAAAAACACAATACTTTTCCAATATTTAAATTTCATAAATTTCAACATTTTAATAATGTGATAACTAAATCACATCAACAAATGTGAAACCAAAAACACGTTTCGCTAAATTGACTTACGGAATACAAATAAATGAAATTCGAGGAAGATTTCTTTGGTTACGGGATTGCTTCGTCTCCAGCATCTGACCATCCCATTCATTTCCGACTAGATTTAATGTAATTTAAATGCCCTTCATCTGTTTTAAAACCGTTAGGAGAGTTTCGATTTTCCAAAGATATCCAAATCTTTTTCCATGATGTACAAAGGTTTTTCGAGGATTTCCTAGCGAATTTGAAAAAGAACATGAGACCATTCCTAAAGAAATAAAAAAAAAACGAAATTAATGTTGTATTTGAGCAAAAATAAGACCAGTTAGTTGAACCCAAACAAACTTACGATCATCATCTCCAAAGTTCTTAAACTCCAATTCAAGCTGATTATGCTCTAGGGTCTCTAAGTATAATTTTCTATTGCGCGTTAACTGAAAATTTCTCAAAAAAAAATTAGTAAAAATTTAAATCATTACCTGAAATTTTCTATTTTCCCCTGATATGTGCACATTGACGCTGTCATTGAAGTCAAAATCTAACGTTGAAACAAAAAGGAATAATGCAAACAATGCAATTGCTTTAAAGGGCATTTAGTCGGACAATCAAATGACGAAATGAAAATGTTAAGAAGAATCAGCAAGGAAATAAGAACAAAAGTGATAAAATTAACGATTCACTGATAAGAGTATATAACCATATATACATATATACATATATATGCCATTGGTATGAAGAAAAAAGATACAAAAGTCTATTTACTGTTATCATATCAATGAGCCATTTTCATAACAAATTTATTCAGAGTTTACAAAATTTGTCTCTTTGGTCAATGTAATCACATGAATTTTGTCGAATTTGACGCTACAAAACACTATTTCAGCTACTTTGCATTATGCAATAAACCCATAAGATTTTTATAGTATTTGTAAATATAAAAACTAATAATTAATCCACCTCACATATTTACTCTAACCAATCAATAATTAAAAACTAATAATAGCTTAGCAATTCATTTGATTAGTTTTGTTTATTAGTCCCTCCGCTTGAATTCCTAAGTGCGACCGACAAAAGCAATTCATTGTCGAAATATGTTCGTTTTACTTTTTACTACGTCGTGAGAGATCATCATCTACGCATTTTATGGAGCCATTACGTCTAGATACGACCTGGGCGCGAGCTCTCTTAGATCGCGCACCTCACCGGGTTTTTATTAGTCAATCTTTACCTTGTCATGACAATTATGGTAATCTCATGCGACAATTTTGTTTTCAACTATATGCGTGGCTGTCCGTTTTCCTAAGAACCGAATAGAATCTAATCGGTGTCTGATTGTTGTTTCTGGTTTATTCTGATAAGCACTCGTCGCTGATTGTAATTCCAATTTCACAGATATTATATATTTGAAAACTGACAAATATTCAAACTGTATAAAATTCATTTAGCTGGCATTTAAACACCCATTAAATGTCCTTAATCTAATTCAATCCTTCTGCAAAAATGTTGAAAACTGCAAAAAATGAAAGTGGCGTTTCGATCGAACGCGTAGATATTTATTTACGACTATTCATTAATCAATGTTACACGGTTAATTGTTTGAATCAAACCTATGCGCGATTGAATGCGTCCTACGCGAGATACAGGATTATTATCTCACTATCAATCTTTGTTTCTCACACCAATATGACGAGAATTACGCAATTATGGTATTTATCAAACTGACATCAATTGAAGGGAGTGTTAGAAGTTCACATAACCTTCAACTACCGCTGAGAATATCAATGAAAGAGAATTAAAACCTTGATGACTATAAATATAAATATATATTTATATTTATTTATTTATATGCAATAGGTTTACTGTCTACTAAAACACCACAAAATCTAATTGAGTTGATACTACCACATTTCCAACATAAAATTCAAATTTGCCTATCTTTGCCTCAGCCATTTCCTATCTTTCTTCAAATCTTCAGAACGTGATCCGGATGTCGTTTCTTAGTCCCGGAAAATTAACCTGATTCGGCGCTTCACGCGATTTTTAAAATCTATGTGAGTGAATTAATTATGCGAAAAAGCAAAAAAAAAAAACTATTCTGAAAATCAAAAGAAAAAAAGGAAAAAATAGCCTTTTTGAAACATAACATTCTGTGTGTTTTGGATATTTCGTGTTTATCAAACCGCCAAAATAGAACAATGCGATTTTAAAAAAATCATAGAACCAGAAGGACAGTATAAAATAAACGTAAGGATGATATGAAACAACAAAAATCTGAATTGGAACAACACTGAAGAATAAAACACAAATAGATAAATGAGAAAAGAATTCATAAAAGAGGGGGGCGGGGTGGAAGGAGTAAAAAACTGACATGAACATTATTACGATTATATGTATGCATGAAATGGCCAAATGACACATTACAATTTTTTAACGACTCTAAAAACTTTAATCATCTATTGGTTATAGAAGGAAGAGTGTTAAGAAAACGAAAGAAAATGACTAAAAAATTTTGGAGACCCTAGGAATCGGGAAGAGTATTTACTCATTAAAAAAATAAAATCATGTCATTCATTTGAAATGCCGCACTTGTTGAGCTTATATCAATTATTCAATTGATTAATTGAGATGATAAAAGGTCAACAAGTCCGGAAAATAAAGAAACACTGGGAAACAATGAGAGGAATAGCGATAAATGGTATATTAAAAAGCTCAAAAATACAACCAGATAATGAAACATTAATAATTATATGTGAATTAACATATATGTATTTGGTACGTTGTAATTAAAACAATGGTATAGATATCAATAAAACACCCAGGGGAAATGTTTTGTGCTTGAAAGTTAAATTGGCATTTATTGTCGCCAGTACTGGGAATGGTCATGGGATTGTGGGAGTTCGCCAATTTCCTGCATGGTAGTATGCCCACCAATAGCGCTATGATCAATAGAATTGAGAACTGCAGACACTGGAAGGCTCATACTTGGAGCTATAGCAGAGATATCTGAAAACATTATTTTAATAAGTCTTCCGCCATGCAATGATACAGGTTCGAAATCAAATTAATATTCATGAATCGATCAATTAAAGCATATATTATATAGAATTTCAGTTTATCTATTTCCTTCTTCTTATCTTCTATTTACCCAATCGGACATATCTACCCCCTCTCTGAGGATTCCATCTCAACAAAAAACAACCAAAAAAATCGCCGACGTATTCCAAGGTATGCGTAGACGGACATATATTTGAGGTGACAGCAGGAGAGGCATATGTCAACGCTGGACGCAAAGAATTTCGGTGAGGGAGGGGGGGAGGCGGTGGTTTGGGTTACGGTAGGCCCGCTGACATCGCCTTTTTTGTTGATGACATTGTTTATCATCCTAAATACCCACTAACCTCCGCTAGTCGTCGTTGCAGGGCTCATTGATGTTTGGAATCCCTGAGTGCTAGTTGGCATCGGTCTCGGATACGGCTGAAATTATAATGGTTGGCAAGGGAAATTGATTTGATTAGGGGGTAAGTGCATTTGCACAACCAAATTCAATTTCGCTCAAAAATCAGAACTTACCTGGAATGCATCATATGGCGAACGAGTTGCTTGGAACATGTGAGGTGCGCCGAAATCTGATGTTGGCTGATACGGTGCCATGCTAAGCCCGCCGTTTGTGAAACCAAAGCTAAAACTGAAAAATCCGAGAATATATTTATTAAAACATTTAAAAATTTCAATCTTACCCGTATGGATCCATAGTTTGCTGGGTTAGTCCAGAATACATTTGTCCAGCCGAAGGTGGCACAAAGTTAGCAGTAGAAAGAGCAACATTTTGAGAGAATCGATTTGGAGTACTAGATGGTGAGCGAATTGGATTAGTCATAGCGCTTCCAGGTCCTGATCCTGGTGTTGGTGTTGGAGTTCCATTTGAAAGAGAAGAATCCAAATTGCCTCCGGAGCGTTTGTTGCGAAGCTTTTCCTCTCTACGCCACTTGGCCCGACGATTCGAGAACCACACCTAAAAAGTGCATATTTTTCTTCGTTTAAAGATTTCAAACAACCACCCCGCACAAACCCTCCACTTGTCCCTTGTGTGTATTTCTCTTTTCACAAACCGAAATCGACTAATCAAGATTTATTACCCATTTTCTTCAAATACGAAGTCTGTTCGGAACGTGAAATAATTATGAGTAGCCCATCATTGTCTGCATTTTCAGAAAGGAAACCTGTTTGGATGGCAAGTTCAAGTAGGTAGTGGCAAGAGTGGCTCTTGAAACGCGGCCAGCAACTTTTCATGTTGTATCCTTCGCCCCATTTGATGTTTTCTTTTTCGTTTTTTGTTAAGTGTTAAGGCAAAAACATGAACTTTTGTCTTTATACTCTCTATGCCATGCGTGCCAGATGACTTTGGCGATACGAAAACGCAAATTGAAGGGTTGTCAGGCAAGGTGTTACGTAATAGTAGATTAAATCTCACCTGGATGCGAGCCTCCGGAAGTCCGATTTTCTGTGCTAGACGCTCTCTTGCAAAGACATCGGGATAGTGAGTTCTCTCGAATTCTGCAATTAAAAGGCATTAGGTAAACTATTTACATATATATATATATATATCAGAAAACCGATTAAGACGTACCTTTTTCTAAGGCTTCGATCTGTTCCTGACTAAATGAAGTGCGATTTCGCTGAAGCTTTCTTTTGAGTCGCATACGAGCTGCAGCATCTTCGTCAGGATCGTTTGGGGGTTTCTGGTCTTCATCTGAAATATTTTGAATGCAAATTATAGTATTTCAATAGAGTTGATATCCCCCTTTTCATATCTTTTAAGATTATCTTTGTGCGTTAATTAATTGAATAATCGAATTATAGAAGGTGTCAAGGTTTTGTTAACTAGGCGCAATAGAATGAAAAGCCCAGGCGACAATATGGAACAAACCATTTTTTGGAGCGCGGCGCGATGGGGGAGCTCGACGAGCAGTTGTAGTCGTGTGGCCACCAGCTGGTGGCTTGAGTTCCGTAAGGGGAGTTTGTGCTGATAGCATCGTCGTCTCAAACGCGAAAATATCGGGGAGACTGTAGCGTATGGTGCCCCCAGTCGCCATCAACTGATATGGCGAAACATGGGCGGGACGGTAACACACACGTACGCGCACGCGACTCCGACAACACGGTAAAACAAGAGGAGGCAATTTCTTCATCTTCTTCGCCTTAGTCATCTTCACCGTCATTTGTGGGCGGTTAGTCAGATAGCGAAAAGAATAAGGAAAACTCACAGAAAAAGACGCATATTTTCAAGAAAAATTATTGTTGATCACGCGATTCAAATTTGTCGGAGAAAAAAATACAGTATAGCATCAGATATGCAAACGGAAAATTTCAGAGAAAAATATGAAACTCAACGCATTGTTTTGGGAATCATGATTAATTTTTAAAAGGTTCGAATAATCTCAACTAAATGTCAAGGAAAGGCCACAACGATGTAAATATTATATTTCTTAAAATTATGTCGACATATGATGCTAAAATCTTCTAATGTGTTCTAACACGAAACACTTTATAAATCACGTAAAAATATGGAAATTTCGCCAACCTCAAATGTAATCATATAAGCATCAATTTGACTACTAAATAACATTGAACTAAAGGATGTGAACATATAGAATCAAATTGAAAAGAAATAAAGAGACGTGCGGATGTCACAGCCAAAATCGCCTAAATATGCCGACGATTTAAAATGTTAGAGATCGATTATTCTAACACTAACTCGATTATATTATTGAAAGGGAAATAACCATTGAACTAATGTGAGAGTGTATCGAGATGTCCCCACCCATGATTTGATTATGGATGGACATTGGGGTTTTCAAGTGGGTGCGGCAGCCCGCTAGACAAGGTGCGAAAAATTGAAGGGTGTCAATTATTGCGCCATAATTTGATAAAAATCTAAACATGATTGCTTAACTCGTATAAGTGATTGATCGCATCGTGGTCTTGAGTCGCTCATCGTGAACAAGTCCATTGGGTTTTTTGGCGAAGAATACTGTACAGAACCGAATACCAATGCTGCAGCAACAGCTCGCTAACCGAGCGACAAAATTTTACAGAAATCGGAGAGATGGAGAGTAAGGGGACACCCGACGTTGACTGTCAATATCAATCAGGATCAGAGTTTTTGGCCTGACCACCGATTTGGAAGGCGTTGTGCGACGGGTAGGAGAACAGCGACGTCGCGAAACCCAGTGAGAGATCGGCAGAGTGCAGACAGCGAGGAAAGGCCACTAACTAAACAGCCCCTTCGGCTTGAAACGCAGTGTTTGCCACGCCCATTATCTACAGTAATCGTCCAATTAGAGGAAGTCCATAGCAAAAAAAAGTGCACATACAGCATAAAAGATAAATTGGGCTTTAAAGCAACACCGCCAGCAATGCCCCAGGGAATCAGGGGGTGAGATGGCTAAAATTTTGTTCAACTTTTTTTTTGCATACGGTATCTAAAAATTTCACTAGATGATAAAGGCAGTCCTTATCAGATGGGTGCCCACTGAAGCGTTAACTTAATTCCTTGATGGCGGAGTTAACATCTCTTTTGTGTAAAATTGGGGACGCGAGGTCGTTGCTACAAAAAAATTTAAAAAAAACAAATAGGTACTGTATGATGATAAGAGCAGGCGTCAATTAAGAAAAAAAATTATTGACCATCTCGCATAAATAAATAAAATAATCGTATTGACTTGGGCATTAATTTATATGAAAATAATATAGAATGTATAAACAAGTGTATCTAGTTCTTAAAAATATTCAAATGTTTTCATTTACTGAAACAAATCGCTTAAAAATAAAAATCAAGAACTGCAAAATATTTAATAAGAGCATTTTTTGAAACAAAATAAGTCAATAGACTTTTTGAAAACAGCGAAAAATGTGAGCAGCACAAAAGGTTTTTAAAGTCAGACGTAAATAAATAGGCGAGTGGCGACGAAATGGTTAATGTAGACGAATGAAATGCAGAAACTGGCAAATTTTGGTATAATCGAATTATGAATAATTGAATTTCAAGGACTTAGAGTGTCAAAGACGTAAAACTGATGCAGATTTAATTTGAATGTTTGACCAAAACAAGTTTTAGTTCTCTCCCTTAATGCAAAGAACTAAACGCTTTTTGCATATTTACATTTGAGAATCATATTATTGGTTAAGAGCTACACAATAATGCACATCACACTATGTTTTTGTTGATAATGTTTATATGACATCTTGACTTATAATTCGAAAAATGGGGTTTGGCTTCTACAAATTTTATAAATTACCTGACGTGGCAAGCTTATTTTTTATTATATCTTAGTAAAAAAAAACTAAAAAGTTCCTAAAATCAAATTTCATGCTAATTTCATTTGTTTGGAAACCGATTACATTAAAGAAAAAAGTGTACGCCGAAATATTAATTTTTTCGAAGAAAGAAAATTGTCTAAAACTCAATGGAAAAATACTTGACATAGGGGTTCAAGAAGCTAAAATTACCTGACAAGTAAAATATTTATCTAGACTCCTCATCGTGACTTCCAATCTCATTCAATTATTCGATTTCATTATGCTCAGTCATATGCAAATGTTTGAAATTGAGACAAACCCACAATTTCGTGGAACTCATAAATCCAAATTAAGTTGATTTGATAAATGACACATCAGCAGCCTTCTGCCTCCCTCTTCATCAATCAAAAAACACAATTTATCTTTTAAACATAATACAAGGAAAAGGGCATTGCTGAAAATCAATAGTTCGCTCGTTAAGCACTACAGTACTGCGTATTACTGTAATGTCGATATAAAACCAACGGTCGGCGCGCCATATGGAACAGGTTTTGTTTGGGCACCCTGATGTTCGCTTGACAGTCTTAGGTTTTTTAGATGGACAAATCGCAATTTCTATCTTTTCCTTTTGTTCAAGGGAGATTTCCGAGAGTACTCTCGAAAGTTAATCAGCAGCCATTTCGACTTGGTCAGCATTAAGTGAGCGCGTAATCCAAACGACGGAAGGAAACATCAATTAGTGGGAAGCGATTAGCTGCAGGTAAACGCCAAGGACAGACACATCCGCAAACGCAAATGCTTCAAAACATAAATTTTTGCATATGTACATAGCAAATGTAGAAAAAGAAACGAGTCAAATGCGAATTAATTTTGTCGCAACAATGTGTACGAGAGTAGATGAATGCGCGAATGAGGACGATGGGTGGCGTGGAGTAGATAAAATACAACGATATTGTCAACTTAATGAATCATCAAACAAGGTGTCTGGTATCTCGCAATAATCAAGACAAATGACACCAGATGGGTGCTTTATTGTTGGTGAACACCTCGTTAAAACTTTTTACGACTCCAGTTTTCATTGTTTTATAACCAACAGGTGAGGGACCGACGTAATCGCGAAACATCGATTTGGTGAGAATTGTGTGACGTTTAATGGATTTTTTATAATTAAATCATCATTCGAATTAGGTGTAATGGAGCGATTTCAAAAATAGTAAATGGGAAAATTGAAAAAAAAAAAAACGACTCCGTAAAATGAAAAACTAATTGTTCTCTCTTTTCTTTAAAGCAATAATGTTCAAAGTTTTTCAGAATCATTTTTTCCTCATCACAGAATCACCCTACAAAGCATTATTTTTGAAAAGTGTTTATGTGGAAATTTACTGTTTAAGTAAATTCAAGCTAACTTTCAAAAAAAAATGATAAAACCGTCTGTCAATGAGATATTCACCACAAAAAAAGGTACTCCAACAATAATATAATTAAAACGAGACAATTTTTCTCAAACTAGCAGTTATAGGAAGAATATTAATCGATTTCCTTTCCAAAAAAAAAACAATCAGTCATTCTAATCGATAATATTTCATTCAAAAACTAACCAGCATCTTCTTTCTTTGGATCCAATAACGAAGGAGCCATGGCGCCAAATGGGTTCAATCCAACTGTTCCTCCCATTGGCATTGCCCACTGATTATACCACTGTGCACTGTACCTTAACATAGAGAAATATATGACTATCGGTAAAATGTAATTTTGAATTCCCATCATTGTTCGCCTAATGCGTATGGGAAGCGGGAGTTTTTTTTCGGAAATGTACAATACCGTGCCAGGATGCGCGTGCCTACTCGTAACTTTATTGTAGGAAAAGAAATAAACAAAATAAAAAAGAATAAAATGTTTAAACATTTTTTTTCGTTTTTTGCTTTTTGATGATGTACAGACTTGCTCTTAACTAATTTAAATCCTATCACCCACCATATGGGCATATGAAAAAAGAATACATAATGCCTTTTATAATTGGAAAAAAACCGTACATTGAAAAGAATATTAGGAAGATGAAAAACATTAATTTTGCAGCTATAACTTTGGTACAAAAACCTGTTAGGAACGAGTGTTTTTTGTCTATGTATAATATGAAAGATCAGTAAATATGCTCGCGTTTGTCCGTCAGCGACATTTTAATTATCTAGTTACTTCATTTACAAATTGTACTCTGCTTGATTCGGAAATTGTTGACAGTACAATTTTTTTAGACTTTTACCTCATGACATCATTAAAATGTAATTCAAAAATAATTCTTAACGCATTAATCGTGTTATTTCATCGGAAATGGTGATATTTCAAAACTCACGGAAAACTGTTATCCATAATACGCAAACGGTCGTAGAAATCGTTATGCATTTGGGCTTGTTCCTTTTTTGCCGCTAAGTTTCGCAATACGCGGTTGATAGACGACACCTGTACAGTACGAACAAAATGAAAATAAAATGAAAACGAGGCGCATACGCTGGGAATTGTATCGGCATTACAAACATTATCGTTTAGAAGTTTATCGCGGATTTCCCATGCAAATATACTTGGTTGCTCTCGTTTATATTCCTCAATTTTTTCCACCACACTGTTTGTTGCAACTCTGAAAATTGAAGCAGCGTAACAAGACTACTAACAAGGGCGAAAACTTGTAAAACCTTGGTTTCGAACCACCAATCGCCCTTGGCCGAATTGTACCAGACTCATAATAACGGCACAATATTTTTGAAACGCATCTGAAATTATTACATTTACTAGCTATCTTGGATATACAATTGACAAAGATTTATTCCCGAAACGCCTCTAATTGAATCATTGCAAAAAATACTTTGTTCTCAAAGTAAGAAACAAACATCTAAAAACCACAAAAACCACAAATGTATTCATTTTCGAGATTGAATTCAGTATTTAAAAAGTTTTCCTCTTTTATATTTTTTATTGCAGATTTCAAAAATAATATTTTAAATTAAATTTAACAATTTCTTATAGTCATTTATATTAAAATAACTTAATTAATTCTTTAAAACTTGAATTTGTGAAGTGAAGCTATATTGCCCTTATTCAAGAAATATTTTTTTAACGAAAATTCGAAACATGCATTAAATGCGCATTTATGAAATTCATAAATAAAAAATTCAATTTTCTGTTATTTTTATTGTATGAATAAGTCAATATCCATAAATAAATAAATATAAATATAAGTATAAATATATATATAGTTTCTCTTAGAGATTGTTTAACTAACCCATTTGAAACTTGTAGAAGCCGGCTAATATCACAAGGGCGGCATCCATTATGAGCTAGGTCCACTATTTTCTGACGGGTATGATCCGGAAGAGGGCGACCGTTGACGAAGACACCGCCCAGCTGATTCACACCGGTGTGACCGCTATCTGAAACCTCATCTGAAATTTCAAACAACTTTAAAATTGGTGTTGTTTTTTCATAATTCCCTCGAATTCATGAGAGTCAATGCGCTGTCTAATTTAGTTAACACCATTGTTCTGTTGCTATTATTATAATTATGAGCATTCAAGAGAAAAAGGAGGCAGCGATTGCGCCGAGCAGGTAATTGAGTACGGGTCACCGAGCCCGCGATGGCGGCGGAAGTCACACAAGTGCTCCAGGTAACCACCAATTATTTTATAAATATCGAAGGATGTCCAGCACCTAACATTATTGTAAGAATACAAACTGAAGTTCAATCAAAATATGTTTAATAATTCGGGCCCGATAATAAAAAATTTGATTGATATTGGAGCAATTATAAGTAAAAAAAAAGTGCGAAAACTTTTTATAAAACGTATTGGAATTCACTCAGACGCACAATTAAGATACTAAAACCGCAAAGCCTGAATTGGTTGATACAATTAGAAAACATTTAGGGGCATGCTTTCTACTTCTTTTACCATACCACCTGCAAGTTTTTCAATTTTTTCTTTGTTCATGTGGGAATTTTAACGATATATTATTTCGAATCCCAAATATTTCTATCGGAAGTAAATCGTCCGCAATTATATTTTTCGCAAATGACTAATTATCGCGGCTATCCTCAAAAAAAGTTTGTTGCACAATATGTATCATTATCCGACATTTGGCACCTAGACGTCGCAACGGGTGGCTAATCCTCTCGAAGGAAACTCATCGACCCGTCGAGCGTCTTAAATATGTTGCCGCTCTAGCATTACTATATTAGCTGGCATTCCATATGTTCGCGGTCGGGTTTTTTCATTCGCGGAGCACTGTGGGAAGCCTTGTGACGGCAGGTTCATTTCTGTCTTGCGTAATCCAATAGTTGATGAGAAAATTGGACTGTTATCTAATCGATCTCCATCATGTAGCTCCGAGCCAACTTTCATCGTGATTAGCGCTATGTCGATCGTCATCATTGATTGCATAATTATGCAATTGTTGGCAAATTGTTGCGTTACCGTAGCATTTCCGTAGACGAGATAACAAATTCTTAGATTAAAACTTTGTACATATTCAGTGAATGCGGGACAGAACAATGATTTCATTCATATTCCTATTTTGTGCCCTCCTAAAACAAATCTTGTTCAAGCCCTTTCTTCTCGTTGATGCACGTATATACATATACATTGAACAACAGATTATTGAGAAGTAGCGCCGCCTTGCTTCCTGAGTGAATGTGTCTACGCAGGTGTGAAATTGAGAATAGTGTGCAACAAAATGTCGCACGGGAATATGGAATCACCTCGTGGTCATTCTCTTGTCTCACTCATAATTTATAGAGCAATCTGCCATTAAAAACTGTGTCTGTTTTTTTAGATTCGGTATGCCCGTTCTATAATTGGCATGAGAATTCTAATGCAACATTTGGAAATTGTGAGAGTTAGGTTGTTGATTGGTAATGAAGTTTTCGTTCCGTCAAAGTTGAGAAAAAAACATAAAGAGAAGTGGAAAAATACTACATTACGAACAGCTAAGGTAATACCCCTCAAACTTAAAGCATTAGCGGATATTTTTAAATTGTTTATCGTTATCTTTTTGGAGATTCAAAATTTTTCATTTTCAACATGGATGTCTTGATTTTTTTCAAATACGGTGAAATGTAAAAAAAAAAACACATTTACAACGACCCTTCTCTATTTTCACTTATGTCTCTCTCTCACCGTTCGATCACAACTTGTCATGACGGCCACAATAACCGTTTATTTTTATGAGGCTCTTCGCCCCTTGTTCTTTTTGTCGCCACCCACACGAATTCAATTCGAGGTCAATTGATGTTAGCGTTGGGATGATGGCGACGTTCGACGTCCCGTTTTTTTACATTCAAAATTCGCATTGCTTGAAAGCCGAACAACAAGATAGCTAGTGTGACAAATTACATGATATTGTGTGGTGTCGGAAATGGTTTAAAATGTGTCTAGAGAAAATTTTTTATGTTTGTCGCACCGCAATTGTTTTCTCCGCACTTTCTTGGAAAGGGCAATTATTTCAGAATTGTTTTGAGTTTCGGCTTGCCGGCTAAGGGCTCAATCAGATAACGCATTTCACCTTGCATTGCAACAAATTCGAATTGCCCCTAGATTGAAAAGCAGATGGACGCGCCCGAGGCATTCGCCGCGCAAATTTCTAGTTGTTCAATTGCAAACATTTTTGGCTGGGAAACATTAATGGAAGAGAGAAGGACAGAGACATGTCGTAGAATACTGTACACGTATTCACGAATGGGCGTTGAAAAACGCTGATACGAATCGATACGGTAGGCACCGGAATTTTTCAATTAAACTGAACTAGAAAAAGAGACACAGAAAAGAGGTAATCGAAAATGATATAATTTACATCAGAACCGGAAACAATACAAAAATAAACTGAAAGAGAACCAATGGTTCAGCTTGAATGTTGATTCAAAACTAAAAAGATTTTGAAAATTCAATTTAAATAATTTCATTACAAAAGCTTAAAATGAAATAAGCTACCCAAATTTCGTTAAAATGTTTTACGATGTCCCACCTTAACGATTAGAATCTTCGTCTCATCGCTTTGTTTAGAAAAAATGTTTTTATGCGCATATCTAAGGAATTAAATAAGCAAGAGATTTTGCAATGGAATCTTTCAAATAAATTGAGAAAGGAGCCAAAAATGGCCTAGAAAGGTGCATTAAGAAAATCATGAATCGAACAAATTTAATGTTTAGCATACCTGCCGATGGCATTTTGCGCGAATCTTCTTGATGGTTCTCGTTCACTGTCATAAGAAATTCGAGAGGAACACAATCTGGTGCCAGGAGATTTGAATCTGTAAATGCTTATTTTTATCATTTATGTAGTTAGAACTTTATTATCCTTGGTTTTTGAGGCAAGCAATTTGAAGGAAAACATAGATTGTTAGAGACATACATATTTTTCCTACATTCATGCGTAAAATCGAATGATTCTCATCAAACTCGCGAAGAGTAATCAGGCGAAATAGCCACCCGCAAAGTCATTCCTAGGCCTTGTTACAGCCATTGGTGAACGATTATGTATTTTTTTCTCTGCTTTTTTTTGTTTAATCGTTTTTAATAATGAAAGTCTTCGAAAAAGTTCATTCCTTATTTTATGGATTTCTCTTATTTTCTGGAGATGCTTGTAAAACCAGCCAAGCGGAATCTAAATTAAGCTTTTAAATCTGGGGTGGCCATTTTTTTTTCTGTTTTTCTTGCTCACGCCTTGTTAAGCAATAACAATAACGCAATTCAACCACAAGCAAGAAAAAATCAAAGTATATAAAAGTTAAAACAGTAAGAATTAAGAGAAAATAAAAAAAATAATACTATTAATCTTGTTGTCGTATTTATTTATTTTCCGAAAAAGGTTTTGAAAATTGGGGTTGAGTGTGTCATTTTATCGAACGACAAAAGGGGGGGGGGTCCACAACTACTACACACTAAACGCACGTCGGCTGCTGATTGGTCGCTTAGCGGCATGTGCGCACCGTAGCCAGCCCCGCCCACTTTTCAACAACACGATATAAAAAATGGGGAACCACCTCACACCGGATATTACCAAATAGTCCACTTACTTATCATGGATAAACATTTTCGAGTTTTCCGTCTTGAAAATATTTTTCAAGCGTGATTGATGTGACAAAAAAGGGCGGATGATGCATGAAATTGGTACGCGGTTCGTTGAGCAAAACGCCTCGTCCTCGCAATTTTGCCACACATTGTGCTATTGTGTGAAGAATTGTGCTTGGCTTCAGTAAAGCCCCCGTTTTACACAAATCCATTTCAGAATTTAAGTTTAAGCGAAAATTCTCCAAACTTTTACTTATCTATTTCTTTGAAATTTATTTTCATCTATATATGAATTGAAAATAGACATATAATGTATTTATTTGTTAATTACTTAATATTTAAGTAAATTATTTTTATTGCTCAACTTTAATATTTATAACTAAAAATCATTATTATGTGCACACATACGTTTCGAAACATCTATTTTTTCTCCATATAATAATATATTAATACGTTTTGTTTAATTCACGCTGTATTTCAAAATTACTTTTTCTATTGCATTATTAAATAATATTTTTCAGCATTGCAAGATTTTTAAAATTTTAAAGCTAAACCCTCGGAGGCTTTTCTTACTTAACCGCATTTGTGTGTTAGGTCCTACACATCAAAAAATAAATGTGAATATGTAAACCGTTAGTCAGAAGACAAAAAATTTGTATCTCAGCAAATGGTAAAAGTATCGCCTACAAAAAATTGACCTCTAAGAACACACAATAAGTTATCCCCACAAGTTACAAATTTCGAATTTTTGTTTTCTACTTTTCTCATTGCCAATGAATTCGATGTATTACTGTAGATTGGTTTTTTTGAGTATTCATTTTTTAGTCACTGTGTTGTGTCTAACCAACTCCAAAATATTTTGAATGATTTCGACACTCCGGTCACAGTATGTTAAGATGATAACAATCAATAGCGGAAATTGTTTGGCGCAAAGATTATGTTCCAATACGCAACGGCGTTATTTTATCACTCGACAAGATCTCTGGTTCACCGGTTATCTCTGACAGTCTTGTAGTCCATAATTGCGATTCTGATGGATATGAGTGACAGCGTTCTCGGCACACTTGTAGGTTATATAACAATGAATACTCGTGTTAAAAGTGGGTGTTACAATTAAAAATGTAAGAAAAGAAAACTTTCATAGCTTCTTTTCTCGACCAAACAAATAAAACAATTTCGTTGATAAAAACATTTGATACACCATAAATCAAGAATTGCAATATTTGAAGCGACATATCTCAACGAATTTTTGAATTATAAAGTTATTTGAATACTTTTTTCCGACTAGATGCCATTATTTTGTTTATACTACTTACATTCATAATAGGCAGAATAGTGCTTATAATCCAAAACCTTATCTGATGAAAGTGTACTTATTCATGAAGAAAAACCAAAAAAAAAACAACAATTAATGCCTCTGAATACTATATTACTCAGAATTTTCAATGTTCAAAAATGTAGCACTTAAATTTTTTATCAACATCGTGCGAAATAAAAAAACAAACTGAAATACATATTTTCAGGCGAGCATATTGGATGTATCATTGCTTAATTAGACCCTCCAAATAGCTAATTGTTTCAACACAACAATATAGTGCGGATGAGTGACAGAACGCGCAAGCGGCAGATGGCCCAAGAAAATTCTAAGACACTTG